ATATCCAGCACCACAGTAAGTCGCCGTGTGGGTTACACTCTGGACCAATGTACTGTCGAACGTTGCTGGACCGTCGTAAGACGCGGTGTTATATTGTACAGTGTGGCTGATTGTGTTGCTGGCATTATGCTGTGGGGCGGCGTCATACCAGGGTGATGAATGGGCTGATACTGTATGCCCTCTTGTGGAGTCTTGCGTCACATGATTGTTCTCTGACTCTCGTCTTGCTGCCATTGTACGTCAAGTTGACAACGGATGGTTTACTATAAATCTAGATAGACAAAATATCAAATAATACACACACATATATATATATATATATATATATATATATATATATATATATATATATATATATATAAGTATGTGTGTATGCGTATGAAACAGAGGGGGAGGAGTGGGAAATATAATTTATTACTTTTCAATTTTTCAAGAAATTAAGCATTATAATTAAAATAATATTCGATCAGAACTGATAGTATTTTACGATTCTCTTTACGGTGCACTATCAAACAATATATGTCAGACCACATCAAAGGTGATGGAACGATTGTTGCTTCACGTTTATATAACATCAAAATATTTCCTGTTGTGAACGCGATCTCAATACAACGTATTTGGTTTTAGGGGATCAGTTAAAGTTGTGTCCAGCTCGTGCATAATATGGTTATAGAATGACATCTAAAATGTGCTAAAGATGACACATAGCTACAAATATAAAACGCAGCTAAACCTTTGTGAGGATAATAAAGACCCTTACGTTAACCCTAATATTACAGCTGAACTAAAACAATATCGACCTTGTAATAGAGCACGTAGATCTACATCTAGCTCAAGAAATTCAAAAATTAAACTTAATGGAAAAAAGATCAGGTGGTGCTCATTACTTTTGCAAAATCTATGAATTCCATTTACATATGAATTCCATTTTTAAATAATTCATGTATTAAATCTTAAACTTTGATTTAAAATGTTACTCTACTCAAAAGACAGCATTGCTAAATGACATATGCTCTCTTCCACATTATGCTTTAACATAGAGGTCGATAAACAAATGATTTTTTCAGGTCTCATCGATTCATGCTTGAAGATGCCATTAAAAGAGAACGTGTGAAAGTTTCACATGTGTTTAATTAAAATAACTTGAACAGAAATGTAATGTCACTTTTCGTTGAAACAATTAGTATTTACTAATTAGTCTAAACACTAAAAGCACGAAACAATAAAAAAGGGTAATTAAAATTGTACTTGCTTCGTTACCTTCTAAAAATGTCTGCCATTCGTTACGTCATCATAGTGAACGCTTTGTTCAATGCGCCTTTTGGTGCGCTGTTTTCTCTACGAGATATTTCATTACATCATGATTATAAGCCTGTATTTGATATTACATCTTGATTACAAGCATGTATTTGATATTACATCTTGATTACAAGCATGTATTTGATATTACATCTCGATTACAAGCATGTATTTGATATTACATCTTGATTAAAATATAGTATGTGATATTACATCTTGATTACAAGCCTGTACTTGATATTAAAATTGGATTACAAACATGTATTTGATATTACATCTTGATTACAAGCATGTATTTGATATTACATCTTGATTAAAATATAATATTTGATATTACAATTGGATTACAAGCCTGTACTTGATATTACAATTGGATTACAAGCATGTATTTGATATTATATCTTGATTACAATATAGTATTTGATATTACATCTTGATTACAAGCATGTGTTTGATATTACGTATTGATCACAATATAGTATTTGATATTACATCATGATTACCAGTGGCGTAGCCAGGATCGTCTCAAGTGGGGGGGGGGGGTTCCAATTTTTACCCGGGGACAAACTTTCGATTTGCACCCCCCCCCCTCAAACTTTCGAATTGCACCCCCCCCCCCCTCAAACTTTTGATTTGCACCCCCCTCAAACTTTCGATTTGCACCCCCCCCTCAAACTTTCGATCTGCACCCCCCCCCCCCCTCAAACTTTCGATTTGCACACCCCCCTCATACTTTTTCTATATACCGAGGGGTCTATGGGGGGGGGCTATGACCCCCCCAAATCCCCCTGCCTACGCCACTGATGATTACAAGCCTGTATTTGATATTACAATAGGAGTACACGTATGTATTTGATATTACATCTTGATTCCAGCCTGTATTTATTATTACATCTGGATTGTAAGCATATATTTGATATTACATCTTGATTGCAATATAGTATTTGATATTACATCTGGATTACAGACCTGTATCTGATTTAAACAGCTGTTCAATATTCAATTAGACCACATATCAAGGAAACAAATAGTGAAACTGAAGAATGCTTAGACAAGAATAATTTAATTTGTTTCGAAAGTGCTGGGAATACATGTTTTATGGGCTATTGTTATTGAGATATCTTAACATCTCTTTGTCAGAATGTAGTGAAATGTGTACATTAATTACAATACTTGTTTATCTATAACCTTATAGAAGGTATGAAAGACACCTTTGTTTTTTTATGATTTTAAAAAATATATATCTCTTCATAAAAGGCTTATTTTTTAATTAGTTCACATTTTAATAAAAACATTTTAAAAACTGGTGCTATATCTGGAAATCTTTCTATAAGTTTATTCTATACCAACATCAAATGTGACTGTTGGCTTATGTTTTATTATATTTTGTAGTTATTGGGGCTTATAATGCACACAAATGTATTTCAACTCAATATTTTGTGTGTTATTTTTTTTTCTTTACCTGTTTAAAATAAGCTACATTACTAACAATTTTTGTTTTAGATGTGTAAATAATGTTAAAATAGCTTATTTTGAAAATATTAAATATTGCCACCCCCCCCCCCCCCCCCCTTAACTTGTCATTTCTGTATATGTACTTCTCCTATAATAAAAGTATAATTTAGATTAGACGCACACTGTTCCCTCATTACAAAATCTTTTTTTTCCCCATACATTACATTGAAAACAATTTCTAATTAGTACCTAAGTGATTCATGGGACGGAGTGGTCTCGGTCTAGCGGTAGAGAGCTGGACTACTAACCCGTAAGTCTCGAGTTAGAATCCGGGTTCAAGTCAATAGACCGTCCCTGAGTCCACCCAACTCTGATGGGTACCTAACTCACGTTAGGGGAAGTAAAGGCGACTGGGCATAGTGCTGACTACACTATCTCTTCATATACCGAGGTCACAGAAACAAGTGAACTCTACTTCACTTGCCCCATAAACCGTCAGGTTTGAAAAGGGAACTTTACTTACTTTACATAAGTGATTCAATAGTACAATATACACATTCGTCATATAAATATTAACACTGCCATAAATGCCATAAATGTCTAATGAGTAAAAGTTATTTTTAGATGCTGTGTGTTGTTTATGTGTGATTGTGTCAAAGTAGCCTAAATATGTAAAAATCGGTACTTCATTAAGAGTAATTAGCCAGGACAATCCCAAAATCTCCTTCACCAATACCAAGTTTAAAAAAAAGTTCGTCTGGGCATTTTCTTTATATGGCCTAGCTTTAAACCCTTCAAATGAAATCTAATCAATACTCTGAAATCAGTAGATATGGATGTAAATAACAAATTATGTTTAGCGATATTTCCAAAAGTTTTCGAAACAATTCGTAATTATTTTTTTTTTTGTGTTGCAAATTTATTAAGCGAATGAAGATGCTGCAATATTTCTTTGTGGGCAAATAAAGAAATTTTTGTTATAAATTGTAACAAGTAACATATTACTTTTTTTTTACTTACAATTTAATAAAATACCACAGCTAAAAAAAGTTGTATCATATTAATTTATAGAATAGTCCAGATAGCTTATATTAAAAGTCTAACAAGTTTTGGTTGTATTATATGTTTCATTAGTTGTTGTTGTGTATTTTTTAAGAAGTAAAATGAGTTTGTATTTTTATTCACTATTATAAGGTTTTTGAGGGATTTTGATAGGTAACTTTATGGTGCACACCTTTTGACATGTTTCATGTTTGTACCTGGTCAGTCAGACTACTCAAGGTCACAGTGTGAGTACCAAAATAACTCATTTCAGCATGTCTAATATACAGGTACGCGCAACGTGTTTGTTGACACCGTCTCTTCTTATCTAACAGTACGGGAGATGGCACTTTCAGCGGAAACTACTAATTTATTATGAAACTGTAATTAAAATGTGACTTAATTAGGTGTGTAATTAACTTTCAGAAATTTAATGTCACCGTGCATTTTCATCGAGTATAATATCTTAAACGGATATATGAAATTTTATACACATGTACCTTTTAAGGTGGAAGAAATTTCAAATATAGGTATAAGGATTTTATTCGAAAGTATATCTCTACTTAAACAATTTCAACTAACTGGAAGTTTTATTTTACTATTTCCGAGAAAACACGATAACTTTAGTGCTATTTCAGTTTTTATAGACACAGTCTATAGAGGGGCCTACTTGGATAACTCTCATTTTTTGTGTAACCTCCGATATTTGGGAGTGGCACTCTATTTCCGGTTTCTAAAAATACAACGTATGTAACGTTTCAGTTAGGTAAACGAAATTGTATACATAAGCCCTAAGATCTTATTCTCAAAATGCCATCAAATTTTTAATGATTTTCAGTGACCGGAAGTAGTACTAAACGCTATTTTCGTTTTCTCAAACATTAAAACTTCTACTGGGCTGCTTACTTTTAAACATTTTACGTAGGTCATGCACTCGATGACGGTATACTGTGGAATCAAACTTCACTTAATTTGTTGTTTAATTAGCTTTTAAAACAACAATCAAGGTTTTCATTATAAAGTACGAATTTAGCGCTTTATTAACACACGTTGTTAGTATTCATCTGGTGCGCAGTTCAGATTTCTATGCGATTCTATTCTATTTAAAAAAAAATAGTATTGAAAAATGAAAAAAAAAAAACAAGACTATAGCCTGATTGCACTGGAAGTACCTCTTACTTTTTAGTGTGATGTAAGAATATACGAGAACTTTTAGAGGAGATAACTCCCGCTTTATTATTCAATGATATCCAACACATCTTCTACACAATCAAAACTTTAATTAATATATACACATGTGTTTGGTTACTAAATTTATTTTTCTCAAACTACAATTCTTTTACTTTAACCATACCAAAGCGGCATTGGTAATGTGGATGTCAAGACAGAGACAGACACACACAGACAGACAGGCAGGCAGACAGAAAACGAGGGTAGACCGAGGCGCTGACGTATGCGTGTGGGTGGGTGGGTTGTGAGTGAAGCAGCAAGATAGATCGACATGGGAAGGGATAAGTTGTCTGGCAACAAAGTGTTACACAATTTTACATCCTAAAATTCATTATGTGCATACCTTCTACAACTATACTGCAGTTAGGACCGAATGTGTCGAGGCATGTCTGGTTAAAGTTATGTAAGTTGAAATCTGTTAAGGTTATGTGTCTAGCGTCATTAGCTGGTGTGATGCGAATTATATTCTTATGTGCTGGGGTGTTAGGACTTTTGTTTTCATTTGCTGGGGTCCTGCGACTCATCTTCTCCTTTGCTGGGGTACTGGTTGCTTGTTCACCGTGACTTGTGCTGCTAACATTTTCTGCGGTGCTGCTACAGGGGTCGCTAGCAGCGTCTCTACTCGTGGTGCCAGACCCTGACGCCGGAGCAGATTTTCCCCGCACGGCCCGAGAGAAACGTGCGGCATCAACGACTTTTGATCTGGACTGCCGCTTCGCCTCCGCAGCCCCTTTCCTTGTCAACTCGATGAACTCATCCCAGGTCATGTGTGTTACTTTGGTTCCAGATGTTTGAGCCTGGTGGGCCGCTTCAAATGACCTAGACAAGATACATTCTTGTTAAAAAAAACTTCAAGTGACCTAGACAAGATACATTTTAGTTAAAAAAAAAACTTCAAGTGACCTAGACAAGATACATTTTTGTTAAAAAATTATTTTTGTTAAAAAAACTTCAAAAGACCTAGACAAGATACATTTTTGTTAAAAAAAAAAAACTTCAAGTGACCTAGACAAGATACATTCTTGTTAAAAAAAACTTCAAGTGACCTAGACAAGATACATTCTTGTTAAAAAAACTTCAAGTGACCTAGACAAGATACATTCTTGTTAAAAAAACTTCAAGTGACCTAGACAAGATACATTTTTGTTAAAAAAAAAAAAACTTCAAGTGACCTAGACAAGATACATTCTTGTTAAAGAAACTTCAAGTGACCTAGACAAGATACATTCTTGTTAAAAAAAACTTCAAGTGACCTAGACAAGATACATTCTTGTTTTAAAAAAAACTTAAAATTTTAACATGTGTAAACTAATTTCAAATAGTTTTTTCCTTCATCGGATAGGCGCTGTATGAAGGTAGAGCACTTGCAGATAAAAATAATTAAAGGAAGAATTATGGTGTGTTCCAATCAAATGTAAAAGCTTTTTTCTTATTTCTCGTTGTCATTGTTATTACTTGTTTACACTTTAAAATTATCTACAAGTAGGACTATTACAAAAATATATTAGTAAGCTGATAATTACTTTTTGAAAATAAATCTTTTTCGTCTGTCAACTATCAACACCGCACACAACTAAAAATGTTGATCTAAAACCGGATCATTAGTTTTGCTTTATATAACTCTAGCCGCTTATATATTCCACATGAGTCCGTCTCAGTTTTCAGTAGTGTCCAGCGCCTATATCGAATTTAGTAACGTTTAAATTTATTTTCGAAAACAAATTGTATATCACATTACATTGGAATGTAGACGCACACTTTGATTTGTGTGGACGAACACAAATGTGCACAAAAACTGAGTTACAAAATGTAATCACCAGTTGACTACTAGACCAATGGCTTGACCTAAGAAAAGTAATACAAGAAATATACAAACAAGAATTACAATAATACAAACAATATAGAAACAATAATACAATAATACAAACAATATTCAAACAATAATACAATAATACAAACAATATACAAACAATAATACAAACAATATACAAACAATAATACAATAATACAAACAATATTCAAACAATAATACAATAATACAAACAATAATACAAACAATATACAAACAATAATACAATAATACAAACAATATACAATAATACAAACAATATACAAACAATAATACAAACAATATACAAACAATAATACAAACAATATACAAACAATAATACAATAATACAAACAATATACAAACAATTATACAATAATACAAATAATACATAAATGGTCTGACAAGTATTAGCTGTAACATTTGTTACTAGATCTAGACCTAGTCTACCTGTTTTTCTTTTTATTTGAACTCACATCCACTAATAGTCGAAGCGAAAACTAATTCCAACTGATTTTGAAAACAATAATTACTAAATCGCCAAATTAAAATTGTTAATCGTACAGACCAAAACGAGCAGAGACACATACAATTCCCACTTACTTTTTTCTATCACCATGTATAAAAACGGTATTACTGTTGGTAGAAACTTTTTCTGTGCCGTTGCGGAAAATGTTCTCACCATTTCCCGTGACGCTGATACGAGAAGTTTCCCCATTGTTCAAGGAATTCAAGAAAATCTTGTTCCCATCGCCGGAGAATTCAATAGTGGTCGTACTCCCGTTCACAATTCCGTTTACAAAAACCTTGTTAAAACTTCCAGCCCCGCTAAAAATGACGCTGTTGTTGCTGCCGGGACCGTTGAAAAAACAGCTGTTGAATTTTCCTGTTCCTCTGAAAGACGCCGTGTTGTTTAGGCCGATGCCGTTATTAAATGTTTGGTTGCCGTGTTTGTCTGAGGCACCTTCCAGTGAAGCGGGTGTATAAGCGGGTGTATTAGGCATTTCCGTGTCTGTCAATGTAGTTTTGGTTTATTCGTATGCCTGTAGAGTTGATTACAGCTTAGGTTATACACCCACATACAAAACACACACACACACACATATAATATTGTTATCTAAGAATATACGAGACATTTAAAGAAGATACTCTTTCTTGTTTTAATGTATACAATTTTATCTTCAGGTTTGGTAATAGATCATGAATAACACAATTCTCTATAGCATCACTTACTTTAAAATGTAATACGTCAAACGACAGCCACATAAATTAGGAGAAGTTAATGTTTAAGTAATAAACTGTAAACATACTCCATTTCCTTTCCAACAATTGATTGGTCTAAAGTACGATTGTGTTCATTATGCGTTTTGGGTGCATTTTTTTTCCCGACAATTTGTTTACTCTTAAAGAACGGATAGATATGTTATTTTTAAACATCAATCATTTAAAATCTAAATAATATTGAATAAAATATACTAAATAAAAACACATAGGCTCATTTGATACATAGCACGCTAATTAGTTTTACTCGTTTATCTGGTGCATGTTTTGTTAGGTGATAAGTCTACTAGATGTTTTTATGTTAATTTAGGCGATATGTCTACTAGGTTTTTTTATGTCACGTTAGGCGATAATTCTACTGGATTTCGTCCTGTGATTCCTTAATTATGAGGCTAATTTGTAAAAAAAAATTCCGACAGTAATTTATCCCTCATTAATGTCATGAATGAACGTGTCTAGAGTTATATAGAAATGGCGACGATCACAACAGCCGACAAAATCACACAATGGTACGCTGGTTCAAATCATAGACTCGAGTTTGAAACCAAGGTTAGATTCATCAGGTCTTTTAGCCCCTTCAGCTCTGATTGGTAACATTAAAAGCTGACCACATTATCCCTTTCTATGCCGGCGTAAAATCTATTTGAACTAAGTTTCGAAAGGATATTAGTCAATATGGAGGCAGGCAGAGTTAAAGAAAATGAGACATACAACCAGATGGGCATGTAGAATGTCGTAAAGTCGCATAAACAGAATTAAAGAATGATAAACCAACAGCAAGACAAAGAAATATAGCTAAACAGACAGACTTACACAATGACAGACAAAATGGCAAACTGCTAGAAAGAAGGACGGACACAAATTGTGAAAAACGAGTTCTTAGAGCTGTACGTCCTTTCACATCATTGATGTGAACATCTACATTGATTCTGAGAGGCCTACACGTCGTGCTAGCGTTGTATGCTACTAGATATAACAAGATTTAAGACTCTGGTCAGTGATGTGAACATCTACATTGATTCTGAGAGGCCTACACGTCGTGCTAGCGTTGTATGCTACTAGATATAACAAGATTTAAGACTCTGGTCAGTGATGTGAACATCTACATGGATTCTGATAGGCCTACACGTCGTGCTAGCGTTGTATGCTACTAGATATAACAAGATTTAAGACTCTGGTCAGTAGCGGTTTCCCCCACTTGTGGCGGACTTAGCGGTGAGAAAGAAAAGTAACGAAGACAGAAACAAGTTTTTGTACTCAGTTTGAAAGTTAGATGCGTTAGTAACAAAGTTTTAAATACATGATAAACCACGATTGGAACATGAAAATGGTGAATTTTTATTAAATGCTGTTGAGTGTTCACAACATCATCAGCTATGATATCACACATATCAAATTGATAACATGGTTGTATTGTATCTGCTCAAGAGTGAAATTTTTTTGGTTTGTTTTAGATTTTGCCGTCAAATCAGCCAAAGAAAACATCTGAAAACTGAAAATTATTCTGAAATTTAATCTTTTTAGAATCAATGTTATAAAAGTCGCAGATAATTGTCGTTTAGAGAATTCAAGCTATTTATGTGGTTGTAACCCAAATACCTTCAGCCAATGCCTTCACTAAAAGCGTTGGTTGCTTATGAGATCTCTTACATATTTAAGCGACCAATGCTTTTAATAAAGAAAGCAAATGAGCTTTTTTTTTCGATACTTTTCTCGAAGTGACGACACGAGTCATGGCGACATGGCAGTGGAGCTGAAGTCCTTAACGTACCCTAGGCTGAGTCCGACACTTAGTGTTCTGTCAAGGGTGTACCTCCTCCTTGATTTCGCGGGGGTTTTCCATATATTATTTCTCAACTGAAGCGTGAAATCAATGGACGACCCCCAATCAGTGGCCGATAGATACCCTTTTATGTAAGAAGCCGGATACTATCCTCGGGAGGCGTTGTTCATCCACGACCGACAACAGCTATAAAGAACTCTAAACCACAAACAGAAAGTAAGAGTTCTGGAATGCTAATTCTCGAGTGCCCTTATAGCGGCCACTGCGGCCTGTGAACATACTTCCTAGATTGACTGCTCACTCTCACCAGTTGCAGTAGAAATGGCCGATACATATCCTTTTATGTAGAAGCCTTACTACAACCTTAAGAGGCTTGGTTTCAAGGCCGACAAAGGCGTATTCAACATCTTATATGGATACTCCAAACCACAGACAGAAACTAAGAGCTCACGAGATACAAAATCTCAAGTGCCCTTGTAGCTGCCATGGTGGCCTATAAACATCCGTTCTTGAATAAGTTGTTCCGTCTGACCAGTTGCAGGATGTGTGGCCTGCGCTGGTCACGAGAGAAAACTTATCAGGGTATACAACTAATTCGCATCCACAGATACACGACCTTGACACTGCTACAGCAGTAAAACACAGAGCATGCCTGTTCTCGCAGGCCTAGATAATACGTTCCGCTCCACTTGGCTTATAGAACAATTTACGTTCCGCTCCACTAGGTTTATAGAACACGGTCAAAGTATTTAGTCAAGGGCCCTGTAGCAGTTATCTGTGGGTGACCGGACGTCGACTTTTAAAATGTCCGCCTGACGCTTACAGCCTAGATGCCTGCTAACGACAGGTAAAACGGTTTAAAATGCCTCACAAATCTACCACTGGTAATTACTAAGGAGTTTGACAATGAGCCTTAATTTAGGCTACACCATCTCTATAATAAAGAAAATGTAAAAATTTAAATCGACAAGTATGATGAACTTCGCGATCCTCCAAGAGAGCTTTGTCCTTGACATTTGTTAACATTTAGTAGACTTCCTGTTTTATTTTTACTCTATGATGCCGAGGAAACTTTTCAAAATAATAGCATCCGGTCTATTAGGCTTTCTATATATATCACAAAAGTTGCGGTGGTCTGACTTTCAATAGGCTCAACCGAGAATTATTTCAAAATTATTTGATTTTTAAAAAAAATCATGTACAATGTTTTTTAAATAAATATGGGTATACACATCTATTTGATTTTTGTTAGACTTTACTAAAGATTGGATGTTATTGATGTTTTAAGTATTATCGTTAACCAAATACATTTTTTTACATTTGTTTACATTTATCACAGAAATTGAAAACGGTTAAACTAGGTCATGTGTTTTTTTTTTAAATTAAATTTTCTTTAAAAACTATAAAGACTATAAGAATTTTTTTTAATCGATCAGGCAGTTTCTGTATTGTCAAGAAATGTTTGCCTTACGAAAGTAAACCTTAAGGTTACAATAATAATATAGGCTTGATGAAAATAAATAGAAATATAGCTTTAAAAGACTTATTTTCAACTTCTCAGGATTTGCAACTTACATAACATCGATTCTAAAAATATATTTCTGAATTATTTTTATGCTCAACTTTGTTTTTAAATTAATTCTTTTAAGCTCGCTTTAATTGCAAAATTGCCTAAAAAATTACGTTTTTTTAAAATCCATGTTAACAGTAATGAAAGGATTTTCGTCAGCGCGGCCATGTTCCTTACGAAGCAATCACACCAAGAACACAATACACAATATGTCGTTTCGCTGTTCCATGCTTGTCACAGTACAAGTTGATAAAATGAGAAAGTAATGACAACTATGTCTATTTAAAACAAATAATGAACAATATGCGATGTTTTGGTTGGCATTTCAACATTTTATCTTGGCACATGTTAAAACAATGGTTATACATCATTTTGGGTATTTGGGTATTTAGAGTCGGACAAACTAAAAAGTTAAGCTTAATTAAGGGCAAGGGTATTGTTTGGAATATTAATAATATAATAAGACAAGTCAATCCGTTTCTTTCTTCCTCTTTTGGAGAGGGTCACTGTGCCCTCTCTCTCCAAACGAAAAAAAATCATTTGTAAAGAAAATCTACACTTTAAATAGAGAAGCCCACGCGAAATTTTAAGTGCGACCCCATCCCGGAAGTTTAAAGTACCCCCTCCCACACTGGAGAAATGTTTGTCAAATATTGAATAATTTCCGCTAACCGGAAGTAGTACTTTAAGGTTTTTCCTACTTCTAGAAAAATATCACTTCTACTGGATCTATTTGTTTCAAGATTTTAATCGATTAAAATGAACTGCGACATAAAAGGTGACTTAATTATAGGTTATATAAGCTTTTAAAAAATGTATAAATGTTTCTGTTTATAAAGTACTTCCTTCCTTCCTTCCTTATACGCAAACCGGCTCAGGAGTTTGGCTCCCATTAGCCAGGCAAACCTCAGTGTAGCAAACCCCGACCACGAGAGTTTCCTACACATCGGTCGCTACTTCCGTCGGCTCTCACCGGGCTTTCCTTCCCCACCCACCAGACTCGGGACATCGTCCTACCGCCTGGTACCCGGCTTGATCGTGGGGGGGGGGGGGGGGGGCATTCGGCCAGATCAAAAACCTCTAGCTGCTGTTGGCTACTATAGCCATTCCGCACCCACTAGGGGGGTCATGAGTTTGATCCAACTAATGGCACTCTTCCGAAGCCACGTGAAGGTCGCAGCTTAAAGTCAAAATATCTGATTAGTGTCGAAAGTAGACCCCTTTTGGTTCCCGGCAGTCTTGCACCTCTCCTCCCAAACGCTATAATGTAGGGGACTTGGGAGTCCGACATACCAGGCTGTTCGGAATTATAAAGTACTAATATTCCCGGCAGAATCTGTTAAAATAGCAAAAACACGTTTTTCTGTTCGGGAAATTTAAGCCAATTTTATATTTATTTTCATCAGGCTTAAATAATAATCTACAGTTTCATTTTCGTAAGACAAGCACTGATTGGCTGTACAAAAATAATTAGGGGATCGATCTTCAGAAAACCCATCCTTGTTGTAATGTAAACTCAAAATTTTGCCGATACAATTTTAAAATAAAATTTAACTTTTTTAAATAAAAAAACCACATGACTTGGTTCTGGCATGTGTATTTCCATTTTCAGCTAAACAAAGAAAAAATTTTGTTTTGCTAAGCTAACGAAAACTACTAAAAACAAAAAAAAAATGTTACCTTTAGTAATTTCAAAAACAACATCACAATAACGTTTTTACAAACACATTTAAACCATAAGCCTAACCGACCCGACCACGCCGACACCGCTATTGTCGATAAATTATTCAAACATCAAGACATCATTAAAAACTTTATTGTCACAAAATTATTCAAACATCAAGACATCATTAAAAACTTTATTGTCACAAAATTATTCAAACATCAAGACATCATTAAAAACTTTATTGTCGATAAATTATTCAAACATCAAGACATCATTAAAAACTTTATTGTCGATAAATTATTCAAACATCAAGACATCATTAAAAACTTTATTGTCGATAAATTATTCAAACATCAAGACATCATTAAAAACTTTATTGTCGATAAATTATTCAAACATCAAGACATCATTAAAAACTTTATTGTCGATAAATTATTCAAACATCAAGACATCATTAAAAACTTTATTGTCGATAAATTATTCAAACATCAAGACATCATTAAAAACTTTATTGTCGATAAATTATTCAAACATCAAGACATCATTAAAAACTTTATTGTCGATAAATTATTCAAACATCAAGACATCATTAAAAACTTTATTCTCAATAAACTATTCAAACATCAATACATCATTAAAAAATTTACTGTCGATAAATTATTCAAACATCAAGACATCATTAAAAACTTTATTGTCGATAAACTATTCAAACATCCATACATCATTAAAAACTTTGTCGATAAACTATTCAAACATCAAGACATCATTAAAACTTTATTGTCGATAAATTATGCAAACATCAAGACATCATTAAAACCTTTACTGACGATAAATTATTCAAACATCAAGACATCATTAAAAACTTTACTGTCGATAAATTATTCAAACATCAAGACATCATTAAAAACTTTACTGTCGCTAAATTATTCAAACATCCATACATCATTAAAAACTTTACTGTCGCTAAATTATTCAAACATCAAAACATCATTAAAAACTTTACTGTCGCTAAATTATTCAAACATCAAGAAATCATTAAGAACTTTATTCTCAATAATTTATACAAACATCAAGACATCTTAAAAAATTTTTTAATCTAAAATAATTCAAACATCAAGACATCATTAAAAACTTTATTGTCGATAAATTATTCAAACATCCAGACATCATTAAAAACTTTATTGTCGCTAAATTATTCAAACATCAAGACATCATTAAAAACTTTATTGTCGATAAATTATTCAAACATCCAGACATCATTAAAAACTTTATTGTCGCTAAATTATTCAAACATCAAGACATCATTAAAAACTTTATTGTCGATAAATTATTCAAACATCAAGACATAAATAAAAAACTTTATTGTCGATAAACTATTGAAACATCAAAATATCATAAAAACTTTGTTGTCGATAAATAATTCATATTTATCTTAGATGAAGAAAGATGTCACATTTAAGAGCCTTTTCCACACTTTAAACATCTATTCATAAATTACCTAATTAACATTATCAGAAAAAACTAACCACACGCCATGGATGATGCTAAAAACAACAAAATACAGTACACAACGCAGTACGCGTTATTGAGAAAACGACAGTATTGCTGACGGTCCGGTTGCTTGTTCTGTACGAGGACGAAGCGGCGTTGATTCAACACCCAAAACCCAATAAGTATTCCAGACATATATGAATCTAGTTACTGTAAAAAAATAATAACCGAGATCCTCTAAGCATTCTCGTAAATTTTGATTTAAAAGTAAGGGGGGTAACACTTTTTGTGCAATCTGGCTAGAGAATATTTTTTGATACTATTTTTAAAAAAATCGAATAGAATGTACGTTAACAACGGGTGCATACTTGAGAGAAAAATTATTACTTTAAGAAGGAAACTTCCATTGAAATTAAAAAGTTAATTAGACTTTTTGATTAAGTCACTTTTCAAGTCACAGTGCATCGAGCATTGAAAAACCTGAAAACTGTGACATTAATCAGTTCAGTAGAAGATCCTTTTAGAGAAAATCGGAAATATTGAAAGAACTAATTTCAGTCCCCGGAAATCACTCAAAATTGGAAAGAATTAAAACAAAATATCACGTGATACGAATGTAACAATTTGGTCGATTTAAACGGTACTGGTGTTATTTATATCTTATCACTTCTATTTATCAATTAAAATGTGCTAAGTAAATTGGCTTGTTCCAAAACCTCCCCTTCCCTGCGTGCTAAGTAAATTGACTTGTTCCAAAACCTCTCATTCCCTGCGTGCTAAGTAAATTGACTTGTTCCAAAACCTCTCCTTCCCTGCGTGCTAAGTAAATTGACTTGTTCCAAAACCTCTCCTTCCCTGCGTGCTAAGTAAATTGGCTTGTTCCAAAACCTCCCCTTCCCTGCGTGCTAAGTAAATTGACTTGTTCCAAAACCTCTCCTTCCCTGCGTGCTAAGTAAATTGACTTGTTCCAAAACCTCTCCTTCCCTGCGTGCTAAGTAAATTGACTTGTTCCAAAACCTCTCCTTCCCTGCGTGCTAAGTAAACTGACTTGTTCCAAAACCTCTCCTTCCCTGCGTGCTAAGTAAATTGACTTGTTCCAAAACCTCTCCTTCCCTGCGTGCTAAGTAAATTGACTTGTTCCAAAACCTCTCCTTCCCTGCGTGCTAAGTAAACTGACTTGTTCCAAAACCTCTCCTTCCCTGCGTGCTAAGTAAATTGACTTGTTCCAAAACCTCTCCTTCCCTGCGTGCTAAGTAAATTGACTTGTTCCAAAACCTCTCCTTCCCTGCGTGCTAAGTAAACTGACTTGTTCCAAAAGCTCACGGTCTGAGACATGAGACATCACACTTGACTCCAGTATGAGTTGTAGACAGCGAAAGGGAAAATACTTTCAACCTTTGACCTTTTCGACCAGACTCTAAACTGTTTTGTTCCTGATGTGGACTGTTTGTGGGGTTGGGGTGTGACTTTCGTCAGGTACGCTATAGCGCTGAGTGAACTCATGGACGTCTGACTTTAGCCCGCGAAATGAAACACAAGTTTGTTCTACTCCTATCCTAAGCATCGATACAAGTAATGTTTTTTTTTTTAAATGTCGTGTTTCAATATGGCCTTTAATCGTTACAAGACTGCTATTTGGGAGTGTTTTGCTGTAGTTATCTGAAGTAAATTAGATTTTTTTTAAATGTTATAATTCAATTGTTATTAAAACAAAATTAATGTGACACTTTATCTACAAGATAATGCACTATAATTTTACAAAAAATAAAGAGAAACAAATTGGTGCAGATGTTTTTAAAAAGGTAGAAGTTCAACAATCTTGCTGGTTGTGCTGTATTCAATTTTCAGTTGTTTTTTTTTTATATTAGCACTAGTGAAAAAATAAATTAGCTTAAATAATTTAGTGAATTGTCACAATACTAGTCAGTACAACCTACGTCTCCTAACTCTCTCTCTCTCTCTCTCTCACCCCCTCCCCCACACACACTCCTACCACACCACCCACACCAATCCTAAATTACTGTCTAATATACAGTTGTGCAAAATATGTTTGCGGAAAATCTACAGAAAAAAAACAAAAATACGAAATGTAAAAATAAAATACTTTAATCCTAAAGTAGTTGTATAATAATGCAACACAAAATGAGCGTAGGTTTAAATTATAAAAGGTAAAAATCACTTAGAAATCAGAGTAAAAAAAATAAATAAAGAAATACTCCATGTATTTCTTTCGGATCACAACTATCCCAAGAATCGTGATGCAAGCGGCGGCCAGTCTTGTCCATTATATGTCAAGTCATTTTGTCTACTGCAAGCATCCTAACTTTGTTCCTATTGTGGACCGCTTGAGGGGTTGAGGAGTGAGTTTTGTCAGGTACCCAATAGCGCTGAGTGAACTCATGGACGTCCTACAGACTTTAGCCGCCAATAGGGACACAACTTTGTTCTACTCCTATCATAAGTATCGATTAAAGCACATAAGAATATAAAATATACCCAAAATAATGCTATGTAACCACGTGTTTAAAAAAAAAATATTGACCCACTTATCTAGTTTACCTATGGTACTCTGTTAACAGTTTTACGATGATTGTATGTATTTATTCATTTACAAATTACGCACGAGAAACTAGCTTTGATAGCAAGTTAAGTGAAACGATAGATCAGTTCTCCTAGTTAAACATTTTATATTATCTAAATTGCGAAAACGTCGTGTGTTGTTACTTGTCTTACTAAACTTTGGATTAAAATTTTTTAAAGTGAATCCTCTACAATAAAATCCATGTCCTATTAACTATTTTATGTTTTTAATGCACGACTGAATTAAAATCCCGGCTGGGTCCCGATGACTTCCATGAGTACACCCTTCTCTTACAGGTTCGAAAGTTCAGCATTATATAAAGACCAGTCAGCTTACACGTATAGTTTTATATCTATAACATATTTTCCCATCTTAAAACAGTAGAGGTAATTTTAACAGCTTTCTTTTCGTTATCAGAATTTAAAGTCATGTATTAGCAAACAATCAGAGAGACGGGCATATCCTAATACAGTCCAGTAAATAATGAATTATCAAGTAGACAGACACATAGACATGTATACAAATCCTAATATACACCTTATTGTAGAAACGCCCAACTCCTTAATCCCCAGTAATAACTGTAGCCGGAACATTTCTGTGGCTGTCAACAGGTACACTTGTGATGTTATCACATACGGAGCTAAGCCATTCCTCTTCATCGGACCGTCCCACTCTCAAAGCTCTTAGCCCAGACTGTCGAGCTATTTCAATAGCCCGGGATCTTTCTCGTTCAGCTCTCTCTGATGCGATGGTCCTTTCTCGCTCTGTACGTTCAGTTTCCAGGGCTCGCAACCGCTGATAAGCTCTTATTGCTGTTAACTTGAAGAACATGTGTAGATGTGCCCTTTTCCTCAGGGCAACGTCGGCATCTTTCAAAGTCTTTGACCTCTTGGCGACTTCACTTTGTGCAAGTGACCTTGCCCGCTGTGCAGCCTCAAAAGCTCGCGACATACTAAAGAGTAGGAAACAAACGTTTTAATTTTTAACGTCTTAGATACTTTAAGAGTAACCGTACTTTATCTTTTATTTATCTAACTTTTCTTCATTCTAACGCGGAAATAGTCATCTATCTAGTGTTGCTGTACGATACATAATTATCTGTCGATACAGCATTTTATGTTGTTTTTATTTACTGAAACTATTTGTCAACTTAGCGGATGTTAGCTTTTTAATGAATATATACTCAGTAGATTGACCTTCCAATGAATCAATTTATACTGCCGACACTAAAGTGATTATAATTAATCGTAGTATCGTGTATTATAATGCCTCTTTCTTCTCTTATACAGTTATAACGTAGTTATATTTCTTAAGTATTTTGTGTATCGTAATTACATTATGATATATGAAGCAACAATTTTTTTTATTCGCCTAACCAGCGATACCTTCGAAATTACGGGAATAAAAATCAAACAGAAACGAACTATAATTTAAAGAAGATTTAACCTAGAGTTGTATCTAGAAACCTTTTCATAATGTGTGTTTCCTGATAACCGCCAACACAAAATGTTTTCTTTTAAATTAATTCTATCAGTTAAAATTTTATTTTAAAAACGTTTAGAATAAAACCCGCTAGAGGCAAGCCCGTGTTACATCATTGGCCCCATGTATCATACAGTCTACACACTTACATACATAGATACATACATACCGCCACTTCAGTTTTACGTTAATTAGTATTTAGTCAGTATTTAATTTTAGAATCTCTAATCCGTCGAGGAAAGTAATACACCTAATCAGAGGCGTCGCGAGGCGGGGGGCGTTGGGTGCGGACCGCATCGGGTTATACCCGGCCTAGCGACGCCATTGTACCTGATATCAAACATTGTGAAATCAGAGCCATAGGTGTTAAAGCCAACTCATAAATAAGCTTTAACTACGTACCTAGTCTGACTACCGTTGATCACAGTACTGTCCAGTCTGTAGTTGATAAACGTTCTGACATCTCCACCGTTGACCATCCCTGATTCCCCGTCAGCAGTGTCATGTGAGGTACGCCTAGGTACCAGTTCCGTGGCTGGCAGAGAACGAGAGGTCACAGGAACACGACTTGATTCCATTTTACTTCCAGTTAGCAGTGGATGATACATGTAAATCTTATTAGATACATGTAGAATTGTACGCTCTGTATACACAGACATGTCTTATAGATGCTCGTAGGAATATATATATATATATATATATATATATATATATATATATATATATATATATATATATATATATATATATATATATATATATATATATATATATATATATATATAAATATAAATATAAATATATATATATATATATATATATATATATATATATATATATATATATATATATATATATATATATGTATATATATATATATATATATATATATATATATATATATATTTATATTTATATTTATATATATATATATATATATATATATATATATATATATATATATATATATATATATATATATATATATATATACAATATGTGTATATAAATATATATAAATATATTTATATATATTTATAGAGAGAGGGAGAGAGAGAGAGAGAAAGAGAGAGAGAGAGACAGACAGAGAAAGAAAGATTGTGAGAAAAAGACGTAGAAAAATTGTCGCAATTATCTTCATTATTATTGATACTTTTAATATAATTAAAGGTCACAAAATTTAATTGAAAGCCCAACATATTTGCAAATCGCAACTTTTGCAATTGTTAAAATGAACTTAGATCAATGTTTAGATCTAGACATTGATTTAAAACTTAAAATACAATGTTATGCTTTATTAGTTAATAAATTAAAATGAATATCACGTTTCGTTGAAAAAACTTATTCTTGTAACTTTTGTATTCCAAATGCAACATAAAAACAGTAATAGAAAATTTCAATTCGGAAAGAAAATTCAAATAATATTTGTTGGTTACCTTGTAAAATAAACGTAGCTTTGATATGTCGTGTCAGCATAATCAACATGGATGCAAAACACATCCGGGTGCGGTTTGGTGCACTCGATACTAGTCTAACTCTATTTTATTCTAAGCCTAAATTTGAATCACTTTGCAGCTAATTATTAGTAGTTTAAACTTTTATTTAACTTGATTCCTGGATCCTAAGTTTTAAGTGTTTCGACGAGTTGTCACAAAGCTGGTCAGTACAAATGTCACAAAGCTGGTCAGTACAAATGTCACAAAGTTGGTCAGTACAAATGTCACAAAGCTGGTCAGTACAAATGTCACAAAGCTGGTCAGTACAAATGTCACAAAGCTGGTCAGTACAAATGTCACAAAGCTGTTCAGTACAAATGTCACAAAGCTGGTCAGTACAAATGTCACAAAGCTGGTCAGTACAAATGTCACAAAGCTGGTCAGTACAAATGTCACAAAGCTGGTCAGTACAAATGTCACAAAGCTGGTCAGTACACAAAGCTGGTCTTTTCAAATGTCACAAAGCTGGTCAGTACAAATGTCACAAAGCTGGTCAGTACAAATGTCACAAAGCTGGTCAGTACAAATGTCACAAAGCTGGTCAGTACAAATGTCACAAAGCTGGTCTGTACAAATGTCACAAAGCTGGTCAGTACACAAAGCTGGTCTTTTCAAATGTCACAAAGCTGGTCAGTACAAATGTCACAAAGCTGGTCAGTACAAATGTCACAAAGCTGGTCAGTACAAATGTCACAAAGCTGGTCAGTACAAATGTCACAAAGCTGGTCAGTTCAAACGTCACAAAGCTGGTCAGTACAAATGTCACAAAGCTGGTCAGTACACAAAGCTGGTCTTTTCAAATGTCACAAAGCTGGTCAGTACAAATGTCACAAAGCTGGTCAGTACAAATGTCACAAAGCTGGTCAGTACAAATGTCACAAAGCTGGTCAGTTCAAACGTCACAAAGCTGGTCAGTACAAATGTCACAAAGCTGGTCAGTACAAATGTCACAAAGCTGGTCAGTACAAATGTCACAAAGCTGGTCAGTACAAATGTCACAAAGCTGGTCAGTACAAATGTCACAAAGCTGGTCAGTGCAAATGTCACAAAGCTGGTCAGTACAAATGTCACAAAGCTGGTCAGTACAAATGTCACAAAGCTAGACAGTACAAATGTCACAAAGCTGGTCAGTACAAATGTCACAAAGCTGGTCAGTACAAATGTCACAAAGCTTTAGGGGTAAGGCAACAACTATATCTAGTAAGCAACTTCGTGTAGATCAAGCTTAAAGTCGATTAAAATTTCAATTCTGGATAAAAATCTGTTTTCCATGTCATTTTTCGTTTCTGGATCAATTTGAAGTTAAGGTGGTGATTTCGGTTTAGAGAAAATAAACAACACTGTCAACCTAGTGCCCGTTGTATCTCTCCCTCAACGGGCCATTTTTCTAGTTCTCAATAATGGAATTAAGCCGCTAGCAAGGGGAGAGCACAACGTTACAAAAATTGTTGTTAGAAATAAATGGGTTACCATCCATTGCAATGATTGCCATTCATTTAAAAGTTGACTGATTCGACCTCTAGCCTTGCCGAGAATAGAAGAAGCAGAGTTCACCAGTTACTGTGTTATCGACAGAATATCTGCCATAATTTCACCCCCATTTAGACAGACTTCGACATGTACTGAGTGCACTCAATGCCATAAGCCTGGGTAGGACGAGACTCTCTAGGTGAGTAATCGTGTGCTCTATCCGCCGCTCGCGTCAATGATACCATCAATATGCGTGCTAGGTACATGTGCTACACCCATTAAAAAATAATTTAAATACTATAGTTTAGCGAAGTGCTTTTAAGTAACACTGAATAATCATCTGTTATTTCTGTAAAAAAAAACCATGTCTGTTTCTAGATCATTGTGTAGGTTTTATTCAATGAAAAAATACACAGATAGGAGTGCGAATAAAAATGTATTTGTTCTGTCATATTCTGGACAGTTGTTCTTGCTAAGTAAAAAGTTTATATTTCCCAATTGAAATAAAAAATAGCCTATACACCAATAATCATCACTGCAAATACTTTTCCAGATAAAATTCCAATTCCAATTGTTGTATGTTAATCCAGTAAATTTTGTATTTATCCATATCTATAGTAAATCATTATACGATGAGTTATGGTACGGCGATGCAATAGTCGCAGCGCTCGACTGCTAACTTTTAAAGGCTTGAGTTCGATTGCCGGATGGGGCTTGTCGGATGACGCTTGGTCCACCTAACTCAGATGTGTACCTGACTAAACAGGTAGAGTGAAAACGGACTGGGAATAGAACTGTATGTCATTCATTAGCCAACGTCACCGATACAGATGAACTCTACTTGTTCCAAAGAGCAATATTACATAATTATCTGAGGTATGCTTAGCAAAAACGTCTAAATTTAATAACTTATATGCTAGATCTATATCATTTTGTCTATGTAAAAGCAATGTGGCTTTTAATCGGTATATTGTCGATATCTATTATATGAAGGTAGATTTAAGCTAACAAGCAGACGGAGAAGCTAGTGTACACAAGACTGATACATACCTACATATAGTGTACACGGCTGATGCATACGTACATATAGTGTACACACGACTGATACATAGGCCTACCTACATATAGTGTACACACGACTGATACATATCTAAATATAGTGTACACACACGGCTGATATATACTTACATATAGTGTACACACACGACTGGTACATACCTACATATAGTGTACACACACGGCTGATATATACCTACATATAGTGTACACACACGACTGATACATACCTACATATAGTGTACACACTGTTGATACCTACATACATACAGCATAACTACACAACGATGCAATGTCTCCACGTAAATATAGAAATATTAAAGAAAACAGAAGTTTAAAGACAACCACGTTTGAAAAAATAACTCAACGCAACAGACATAGGATCTAAATCTAGATCGAGATTTACGAATAGAAAATTTTCATGCGGAAACTACGCTAATAGTATTTATTTAGAATTTAGAAAGATGGCCGTGCTTTGCATTTTTGGAGATTCTGCTAGGATCTACATCAGAATCTAGAACTATAATCTAGATCTAATATTAACTTCAGCGGGATCTCACCAAGTGTTTCTACCAGACTTTTTTCTCCGGAGTGGGGGGGGGGGGGGGGGGGGGGAGGACGACTTGATATTTTCGGGGGGGGGGGGAGGGAGGGGCGGTCAACATGTTTGGGGGGAGGACACTGGTAAAAGTATATATTTTCGGCCAATTTAAACATTTCGCCTCAAAATATATAATGAATTCTAGATCTACGGGCTAATGATGCGATGTTTTCAAAGTCGTCGGCGCAAAGGCTAGATTAAATGTGTCTTTCTTCTGTTACCTTACTGGTAACTAAAAAATAGATCTAGTAGATTCTAGACTCTAGATCTAGATCTAGATCTACCATAATAGATACTATGCCTGTAGATTTATATAAATATAATATATTTTTATAGATCTAATATCATGCTTTTTTTAATGGTTTAGGCCTTGTTCATCTCAACTGGTATCTTCTAGATCTAGTTACTGGTACACATCCCTTTTTTTTATCCCACTCCATGTCTTGATGCAACGACATTTGCATTATTATCTATAATATGGGGCCGTCTATACATGACTTCACAGGGGGGGGGGGGGGGGGTATCTGGCTGTTTGTTATGGTGGGGAGGAGGGAGGCAAAAATATAAAAAAATAGTGTATTTTATGGATGACCCATATGAGTGGTGGCATTGTGTTGAAAGTCTGCGAGCATAAAACTTCTGTGATCTTAAGTTAGCACAGGTATTTAAAAGAAGAGGAATGATAAGCGTGTGCGTTAGCATATAACCTAAACAGCCTTTCTAGATAGCTCATTTAGGCGTTGTACTTCATGCGTGCAAATGCTCGTAGGTCCTCCACTGTAAAAGCTAGCCTGAGTACATATGTAAGTCTTAACTCAACTTCACAGATACCATTACTCATAATGCATAAATCTTTGCTTCTGGCACAAAGTTGAGGTAAAAACATCCTGTCTGATGGAATTGACCAAGGACAAGTTTGTTGCTGTCTGAGCAGTTTGGAAGATCTAGTTAGTATTGATTCTGCATTGACTGCTGTATAAAACCTTAAGGACCAGTCTAGATTCATTTAAGGATATACTCCAAGCCAATGTGTTGATGCTATCCTGTCTTCCTGCAGTGTAAGACTGAGAACAAATGCAGTTCTAGCAATGAACCTCGAGGGTGTAAGAGCGGATGTTTTGTTTAACTCGCCGTTGTCTGGTCTCAAGTCCAGGATGAGAAAGTAGGAGGGGACAAATTGCAGAGGCATAGCGACCTTCCCGGCGCCCGGGGACATGTCTCCCCCCCCCCCCCCCCCCCGCACCCCTCCCCTCGCTACGCCTCTAACAAATTGAATACATTAGTAAATGCAAGTAGTGGTTACATCATGCCAGAGCTTCTTACAGGCATTTCTACCGCATTCCCCCCCCCCCCAGAAATTGTTGTCGTCCCTCCTCCCCCCCCCCCTGCGGAGAAAAAAGTCTGGAAGAAACACTGCATGTTGTATGCTAGTTACGTAGCATTGCTATGCTGTTAATGGCATTTAGGCTTATGTTTGTTTTTACAAGCTTTTATTTAGATCGCAATGTCTATTTGTTTGTGGGGTTTATAGCAAATCTTGTAACTTAATTTTGACTCACTTCAAACTTTACAGGTACGTTCCACTTTGATAACAATACAAGTCTATTTTTTTATTTCAGCTCTGGTTAGTTAGCATGACATCCCTTGAGCTTTTTTAAAGACTCTACCAGATCTTTTCACCAGGGACTCCCCTTCTCCAGCTATTAGACTCAAATAGAGAGCTATGCATATTGTCTTGTATTTAAGAGCTGTAAGTTTAGGTTGCTACAGAAAAGAAAAATGTTTTCATAGATCCCCATCATAACTGTATACTGACAATCAGATTTTAAAATTATTTTAGTTATGTTGCAATTTAGCACATTTAGCAAAAAACATTTAGCACTTAAAAGATGTTAAAATGAAATGATGTGTTTTAAAATGCTGGTCAATACAAATGTCACAAAACTGGTCAATACAAATGTCACAAAACTGGTCAATACAAATGTCACAAAACTGGTCAATACAAATGTCACAAAACTGGTCAGTTCAAATGTCTCGGATCTAGATATAAAATTAGCTTCAGCGTGATTTCACCAGTACGGCCAAGTTTAACATTTCGCCACAAAATATACCTAGTACTGTATAATGATCTAGAATTCTAGATCTAGATCTACGAGCTAATGATTTAATGATGCCGATGTTTTCCAAGTGGTCGGCGCAAAGGCCATATATGTGTATTTCTTACACATGTGTTATGGCTGTTTTATGTATGGCCCCTTAGAGTTGTGGCATCGTGCTGGAAGTCTGCGAGCACAAAACTTAAAAAGTGTTCAAACGGTTGCACAGTTAATAAGGAAGAATAATAAGCGTGTACGTTAGTATATAACCTAAAGAGCCTTTCTAGAGGACTCATTTAGGCGTTGTACTGCATGCGTGCAAATGCTCGTAGGTCCTCCACTGTAAAAGTTAGCCCGAGAACACATGTAAGTCTAACTCAACTTCACAGATGCCATTACTCATTATGCATAAATCTTTGCCTGTTTGGCACAAAGTCGGGGTAAAAACATCCTGTCTGATGGAATTGACCAAGGACAAGTTTGTTTCTGTCTGCGCAGTTTAAAAATTTAATTAGATGTTTAATTAGTCTTTAAAAATTAATTTAACAGTGTTGAGACTAAGCGGAGATGACAAAATTAAATAACTCGATATTGGCTTGCTTTAGAGTAAGATCATTTGTTGGGTTACTGTTGTTATAAATTGTGTGTTGGTCTATTAGACACTCAAGGAAAATGGCCTGTTTTTCTCTTGTCTTACATGAAATCCTTATCAAAGATTCATGTTAGTTTCTGTATAGACTGCTAATCCTATGAACATTTGAAACATTTCAACTCTGGTTAGTTAGCTTGACATTCCTTGAGCTTTTTAAGACTCTACCAGATCTTTTCCCTCGGGACTCCCATTCTGTTTTTAGACTCAACTAGAGAGCTATGTATATTGTCAAGTGTTTAGGAGCTGTAAGTATAGGTTGCTACAGAAAAGAAAAATGTTTTGATAGATCAACATCATAACTGTATACTGACAATCAGATTTTAAAATTATTTTAGTTATGTTGCCAGTTAGCACAATAAGCAAAAAACATTTAGCACATGATACAATAACTTAAAAGACAATACAAATATTGTCACAAAGCTGGTCAGTTCAAATGTCACAAAGCTGGTCAGTACAAATGTCACAAAACTGGTCAGTTCAAATGTCACAAAGCTGGTCAGTACAAATGTCACAAAGCTGGTCAGTTCAAATGTCACAAAGCTGATCAGTACAAATGTCACAAAGCTGGTCAGTACAAATGTCACAAAGCTGGTCAGTACAAATGTCACAAAACTGGTCAGTACAAATGTCACAAAGCTGGCCAGTACAAATGTCACAAAGCTGGTTAGTACAAATTTCACAAAGCTGGTCAGTACAAATATTCTCACAAAGCTGGTCAGTACAAATATTGTCACAAAGCTGGTCAGTACAAATGTCACAAAGCTGGCCAGTATAAATATTGTCACAAAGCTGGTCAGTACAAATATTGTCACAAAGCTGGTCAATACAAATATTGTCACAAAGCTGGTCAATACAAATATCGTCACAAAGCTGGCCAGTACAAATGTCACAAAGCTGGTCAGTATAAATATTGTCACAACGCTGGTCAGTACAAATATTGTCACAAAGCTGGTCAATAAAATATTGTCACAAAGCTGGTCAATACAAATATTGTCACAAAGCTGGTCAATACGAATATTGTCACAAAGCTAGTCAATACAAATATTGTCACAAAGCTGGTCAATACAAATATTGCCACAAAGCTGCACTTTACGAAGTTTTGAGTTTTCACAAAACTAGTCATTGTAAAGTAAAAAAAAATACAACCTATTCAAATACAATACTTTAATTTTTAAAATTTTCATATTAAATTAATAAAAATTGTACAATAAATAAAAAAAAAAATATTCAAAGTGTATACAACATGCTGAAAATAATTAGTCTTGAGGCAACCTAAAAACAGTATGTCTCCTATCTAAAATTTGTCTTTCCCTAAATGTTCAATAATTATAAAATTTTAAAATGTTTTTATGTGCCTTACTTCCTAACTGTGTTGGTCTACGTGTATGTGTTACGGGTGCCTACGTTTCTATTTGTACTAAACTGACCCATTGCCACGAAGTATTTTAGTAACACCGCTCGCTAAATTCATGCACATGATCCGGACACATTGTTTTTTTAAATAAAAACCTCCTCCCAAAAAAAGCAATCATCGTCTTAATGTAGGCGATGCAGTCATGGTTTCCTTCCATCAGAATCATCTGTCTATCATAATCTGTCTTGTCCATGAATTTAGACCTTCTGGGGAGAAAATCATTAACTTGTATTTAGCAAATTAAATAATTAATTATAGTGTGAACCTCCACCTAAGAACCTAAGAGGAAAAAAGATGAACTTTGACGATATTAAAAATGGAATTGTCTTGATGGGATTAAATGGGGTGTCACGACATTTTATCTAATTACTTAACATTCTACGAATTTTCTTTTAAAGATCATGTTGACAATCTGTTTGGGAATACATTGCGTTTTGTCAGTGTGCAAGGGGGAGCATTACGTTAAAAAATGTTGTGAGAAATAAAGGAGTTATCGCCCATTGCAACCTATTACTAGTCGACCAGAAATGTCATCCAACCAGTGTTTCTTCCAGACTTTTTTCTCCGGAAGACGAGATGCCTAGAAGAAAATGCATCCAACACTACCTTCTGGCAGTGGCGGAGAATAGACTGATACATACCTACATATAGTGTACACACGATTGATACATACCTTCTAGAATATGTCACGTGATCATTGAGGGATGATGTAATAATCCACCCCGTCAACGTTGATGGTGTCAAACTCCTCCGCTTCCCAGCCTTCTTCATCCTGTTTGTATTCCTCATCTTCATCATCTTCATCATCCTCTGATTCGTCATCGTCGTCATCATCATCATCATCATCATCATCATCCTCATCGTCATCGTCATCCAATTCCTCTTGTCCCTCGATGTAGTCTTCATCTTCCTCGTCCTCGTCATCTTCTTCCTTCTTCTCCAAACTTTCCCCTTTGTTCTCCACCGGTTTACGCTCAACAGTCGCCTTCACGTCATCCCCAACCAGTTGATTAAAGATGTCATCCACAAACTGAATCCCCTCAAGCGCCAACATACCGGCCTGACGCTGTTCTTCCACTATGCGGGCCCTTTCTTCTTTAGCTCTCTCCAACGCCTCTGCCCTCGCTCGCTGCACCCTCTCCACCGCTTTGTCTTTGATCCACTTGGCCGACTGGTAGAATTTTGTCAGGGCCCACTTGCCGGTCTCCATCACCGTGGACACCACCCTTTGACTGCCTTCTATCGCCAGCATCGCCCTACAGTCAAACAAATATAACATTATTTCAGGTGTTGACTACCATTTAAACAATAGCATAACCATTCTAATCGAATGTCTTTTTATCAGAGATTTGTTAAGTTATTTTTTCACTTCAACTCGACGTTTTAGAGTATGTGATTCAATGTTCAATTATCATTTGATCAATTCACTCACAAGCTAATCAAGCTGATATTTTAAACAAAAATGGTTATAACACAAATCAAATTCCTCGACAGAAAATTATAATGTTTATGTTTAAGCGATTGTATTTCTTGTGTTACTTCGTATAGGATCACTAAATTCTCAATAAAACAAAATTCTTTCTTTTTTTGTTGTTATTGAAGCCAGCGACGTCATAAAAGTAAACGAAAAAGAAACTATAACACAAGCTATAACAATATTAAATTAGCTTATACATATAACTTTCAAATAAACGTAATTAGTCTAAATAAGTTTCCAACCAGAGGTTACCTCATTTCAACTAAAAAATGTGCTAAACCTTCTGTCATTTGGCGAAGAATATACATAGCAGCGAGATACTTACACAATTACATACATACATAGGATATATACAAACACCTCGGCATGATGCATGCATACATTCATCTCAAACACAGACATACATAGATACAAATATACAGACACAGAAGTTTGATTGTACATGGCATTAAACAGTATTGCTTCGGTCAATCGATGTAAGAAAAATGTTCCAATCGGGTAACACTAGAGATTTTGATATCTCTAAGCAAAGATGGAAGATACAACACACTGGTCTTTCTTCTTCTTCGTTCTTAATTATTAGTGTTGAAGGGGATCGAGATTGATCTGCCAGTGGGTTTGAACTCTAGACTTTGTTCGAATTTATCAACCATAAACTTTTTGCCGACTCGACCACGCCTCCAACACAATTAAGCGTTACGTGTCAACTGGTTATGCGCCATGGAGGCCATTGACTCCGATTTCAGCCTGCTTTTCAGCCTGATTTTGATATCTCTAAGCAAAGATAATAGATACACCTCACTGGCTAACATTAGCTACTTACGTGTTCGTGCGTCCGTTCACAACCGCGTTGTTAAGCGTGGGGTTGAAGACATTTTCCGCCATCCCCCAGTTGTTGGCTGCACTCGGTACGAATCCACTGGGCATGTTGTTGACAACGCAGTTGAAGTAGTTGTTCTTGATGTTTTTCGGCGTGTCCGGCACCCCACACACGTGACAGTTTCTACCACCGTTGGATGGACCCGCGTTGCAGGGACCCACATTGTTCACCACACAGTTCACAAAGTTGCTGCTGACCATTCCAGCACCGCCGTCATTAGGTGGGGCTATCACAGGGGGGACCAGGGGGGCCGTTAAAGTACCGGGGACATTCAATGCGGGGGTAATGTTGTCCACAGTTCGGCACACAGTATTTTGTGCTGCTGTGGGGACCGCTGGTACCAAGCTCCGTAGTTCCATATCAGAATCAGACAAAGATAGATGCACCGGATAAATCTAGAAAAGAAATTATATATATATATATATATATATATATATATATATATATATATATATATATATATATGTGTGTGTGTGTGTGTGTGTGTGTGTGTGTGTGTGTGTGTGTTTAGGTGTGAGTTACATATGTGTGTACTTATATAAGTCAAGAGTTATGATCGAGAAATGAGGAAAGCTTTCTTTCAGTCGATTTGATCCAAAAGGAAGTCAATATGTAAATTAGTATACACAATTAATTGGCAATTCATCTGGATATCTTTGAATATTTAACTTTTTATATTGTTTAAAATATTGAATTCAAAAGACGAAGAAATATGTTCACTCGGTGAAGACAATGAATTATTTTTAAAGTGTTAATGTATTTTTAAATACCAATTTTTTAAATACTGAATGCGTAAATATTGTTTATACTAGTTAGTTCAAATTCACCGTTACTTATTACAACATTATCAGCGGGAAACAGCTAAAAAATATGTCTATTTTTATCGTCTACACTTAACTCCAACTGTAAAAAATACGAGGTTTGTTAGGACTAAAACCAACCTGGAATTAACCTTAAAACGAAACTCCCAACTGAGTACAATGTTTCGAAGTTACAAAATGTAGCAACGATTTAGTACAACTATGTCAGTGTTAACATGGAATTGATACCAACAAGGTATTGATGTCATAAGATGGTCGGGATATTGTTGCAACTACAGCAGGTCTGTTAAAAGACCAAAGTACAGCAGGTCAGACCAAAGTACAGCAGGTCTGTTAAAAGACCAAAGTACAGCAGGTCAGACCAAACTACAGCAGGTCAGACCAAAGTACAGCAGGTCAGACCAAAGTACAGCAGGTCTGTTAAAAGACCAAAGTACAGCAGGTCAGACCAAAGTACAGCAGGTTAGACCAAAGTACAGCAGGTCTGTTAAAAGACCAAAGTACAGCAGGTCAGACCAAAGTACAGCAGGTCAGACCAAAGTACAGCAGGTCTGTTAAAAGACCAAAGTACAGCAGGTCAGACCAAAGTACAGCAGGTCTGTTAAAAGACCAAAGTACAGCAGGTCAGACCAAAGTACAGCAGGTCAGACCAAAGTACAGCAGGTCAGACCAAAGTACAGCAGGTCTGTTAAAAGACCAAAGTACAGCAGGTCAGACCAAACTACAGCAGGTCTGTTAAAAGACCAAAGTACAGCAGGTCAGACCAAAGTACAGCAGGTCAGACCAAAGTACAGCAGGTCTGTTAAAAGACCAAAGTACAGCAGGTCAGACCAAAGTACAGCAGGTCTGTTAAAAGACCAAAGTACAGCAGGTCAGACCAAAGTACAGCAGGTCAGACCAAAGTACAGCAGGTCAGACCAAAGTACAGCAGGTCTGTTAAAAGACCAAAGTACAGCAGGTCAGACCAAACTACAGCAGGTCTGTTAAAAGACCAAAGTACAGCAGGTCTGTTAAAAGACCAAAGTACAGCAGGTCTGTTAAAAGACCAAAGTACAGCAGGTCAGACCAAAGTACAGCAGGTCAGACCAAACTACAGCAGGTCTGTTAAAAGACCAAAGTACAGCAGGTCAGACCAAAGTACAGCAGGTCAGACCAAAGTACAGCAGGTCTGTTAAAAGACCAAAGTACAGCAGGTCAGACCAAAGTACAGCAGGTCTGTTAAAAGACCAAAGTACAGCAGGTCAGACCAAAGTACAGCAGGTCAGACCAAAGTACAGCAGGTCAGACCAAAGTACAGCAGGTCTGTTAAAAGACCAAAGTACAGCAGGTCAGACCAAAGTACAGCAGGTCTGTTACAAGACCAAAGTACAGCAGGTCAGACCAAAGTACAGCAGGTCTGTTAAAAGACCAAAGTACAGCAGGTCAGACCAAAGTACAGCAGGTCAGACCAAACTACAGCAGGTCTGTTAAAAGACCAAAGTACAGCATTTTACTATTTTAGTGCCTGTTTTTATTGCACATCATTTTAATAGCTAATCATATACTGATCTAATTGTTGCTTATTTTCTGCATGGTAATTTTATTTGTTTATGTAAGTAAAATAAACTTAAACTGAATATTAATATTACCGACGATTTATGGAGGTTTTAACCAGTGTTTCTTCCAGACTTTTTCTCCGGGGGGGGGGCACTTGAAATCTTCGGGGGGGAGGGGGCGGTAAACTTTCTTCGGGGGGGCGGACACTGTTAAAAGTATATATTTTCTATATAAATTATATACATTTCATTTCGTTCGGGGGGGGGGGGGGGAGGGGGGTAAAAAAATTTCGGGGGGGGGGGGGGGAGATGCCTGGAAGAAACTCTGGTTTTAACTTAAAGTCTACTTTCAAGCTTAAAAATGGATAAAGTTAGTGATTCTTCCGTTTGGACTAAAAGTTTGAGTAAATGAATCATTTAGACCTATAACATGTTTGACAACTGTTTCGTTGAAAACTTTTAACAGAGCTGTAATTTCACATTAGATTTAGATCTAGGTGAAACATTGAATCTTTAACAACATAGTCTAAATTATATTTGCTTTATTACCTTTTTACCTTATTAGCTTTTTTTTACAAAAATATCCTTGTTGATATGTTACGTCACTGTGTTGTACGTAGGTGTTCAAAACATGTGCATTGCGCTTTGTGGTGCGCTTTTGTAGTGCGCTTTTGTGGTGCGCTTTTCCCATTCTTATTCTACATTTAATGATTGCGCAGCTCGGGCGCTTTTAAACATCATTGAATACAAAAGTATGTTTGTTTTTTGCAGAGCAATACATACAATAACTGAAAAAAAAACAGTTTATTAACTAATATGCTAGAATAACAGACAGTATGACCTATCCACCGTTTCTGTCTTTCTGTCTTAAATAACCATATCCGTAATTTGGTAAGAAAACGTGTTTGTGCCAAGTTTTTTTTTTTTTTTTTGGGGGGGGGGGGGGGGGGCAGAAGTACTTCATGTAGCATTTACTTTGAGCAATCATTTATTAATATTTTGCAAATTAATTCAACTTACAACTAAGTTGAATTTATCATAACGCTCGAACTACGTAAAAAAATTAGACAAAGGACAAAAGTTGTAAGCTTAAAGACAAAAGACGGAAGAGAAATCAATTTAACATTTAAAATAAATGCTTATAAATTGACACAAGCACGTACAAGGAATAAAGTTAAATAAAAGTTTGTAAAACGACGATCATGATCCTAGTCTAAATTCTAGCCTTGGCTGACTAGTGTCGACATGAACGATTATCATTCAATCAATACCGTTTACAAGTTAGACTAGACTAGTAACTAAATTCAGCCAGTTAGACTAGACTGTTCCCTAACTTCAAGCATTTAGACTAGACTGTTCCCTAGTTTAAGCCATTTAGACTAGACTGTTCCCTAACTTCGAGCATTTAGACTAGACTGTTCCCTAGTTTAAGCCAGTTAGACTAGCCTGTTCCCTAACTTCAAACAGTTAGACTAGACTGTTCCCTAACTTCAAACAGTTAGACTGGACTGTTCCCTAACTTCAAGCATTTAGACTAGACTGTTCCCTAACTTCGAGCATTTAGACTACTGTTCCCTAGTTTAAGCCCGTTAGACTAGACTGTTCCCTAACTTCAAGCATTTAGACTAGACTGTTCCCTAGTTTAAGCCATTTAGACTAGACTGTTCCCTAACTTCGAGCATTTAGACTAGACTGTTCCCTAGTTTAAGCCAGTTAGACTAGCCTGTTCCCTAACTTCAAACAGTTAGACTAGACTGTTCCCTAACTTCAAACAGTTAGACTGGACTGTCTCCTAACTTCAAGCATTTAGACTAGACTGTTCCCTAACTTCGACCATTTAGACTAGACTGTTCCCTAGTTTAAGCCCGTTAGACTAGACTGTTCCCTAACTTCAAGCATTTAGACTAGACTGTTCCCTAGTTTAAGCCAGTTAGACTAGACTGTTCACTAACTTCAAGCAGTTAGACTAGACTGTTCCCTAACTTCAAGCATTTAGACTAGACTGTTCCCTAACTTCAAGCAGTTAGACTAGACTGTTCCCTAACTTCAAGCATTTAGACTAGACTGTTCCCTAACTCCAAGCATTTTGACTAGACTGTTGCCTAATTTCAAGCAGTTAGACTAGACTGTTCCCTAGTTTAAGCTAGTTAGACTAGACTGTTCCCTAACTTAAAGCAGTTAGACTAGACTGTTCCCTAACTTCAAGCATTTAGACTAGACTGTTGCCTAATTTCAAGCAGTTAGACTAGACTGTTCCCTAGTTTAAGCTAGTTAGACTAGACTGTTTCCTAACTTCAAGCATTTAGACTAGACTGTTCCCTAACTTCGACCATTTAGACTAGACTGTTCCCTAGTTTAAGCCAGTTGGACTAGCCTGTTCCCTAACTTCAAACAGTTAGATTAGACTGTTCCCTAACTTCAAACAGTTAGACTGGACTGTTCACTAACTTCAAGCAGTTAGACTAGACTGTTCCCTAACTTCAAGCATTTAGACTAGACTGTTCCCTAACTTCAAGCAGTTAGACTAGACTGTTCCCTAACTTCAAGCATTTAGACTAAACTGTTCCCTAATTCCAAGCATTTTGACTAGACTGTTGCCTAATTTCAAGCAGTTAGACTAGACTGTTCCCTAGTTTAAGCTAGTTAGGCTAGACTGTTCCCTAACTTAAAGCAGTTAGACTAGACTGTTCCCTAACTTCAAGCATTTAGACTAGACTGTTCCCTAACTTCAAGCATTTTGACTAGACTGTTGCCTAATTTCAAGCAGTTAGACTAGACTGTTCCCTAGTTTAAGCTAGTTAGACTAGACTGTTCCCTAACTTAAAGCAGTTAGACTAGACTGTTCCCTAACTTCAAGCATTTAGACTAGACTGTTGCCTAATTTCAAGCAGTTAGACTAGACTGTTCCCTAGTTTAAGCTAGTTAGACTAGACTGTTTCCTAACTTCAAGCATTTAGACTAGACTGTTCCCTAACTTCGACCATTTAGACTAGACTGTTCCCTAGTTTAAGCCAGTTGGACTAGCCTGTTCCCTAACTTCAAACAGTTAGATTAGACTGTTCCCTAACTTCAAACAGTTAGACTGGACTGTTCACTAACTTCAAGCAGTTAGACTAGACTGTTCCCTAACTTCAAGCATTTAGACTAGACTGTTCCCTAACTTCAAGCAGTTAGACTAGACTGTTCCCTAACTTCAAGCATTTAGACTAAACTGTTCCCTAATTCCAAGCATTTTGACTAGACTGTTGCCTAATTTCAAGCAGTTAGACTAGACTGTTCCCTAGTTTAAGCTAGTTAGGCTAGACTGTTCCCTAACTTAAAGCAGTTAGACTAGACTGTTCCCTAACTTCAAGCATTTAGACTAGACTGTTCCCTAACTTCAAGCATTTTGACTAGACTGTTGCCTAATTTCAAGCAGTTAGACTAGACTGTTCCCTAGTTTAAGCTAGTTAGACTAGACTGTTCCCTAACTTCAAGCAGTTAGACTAGACTGTTCCCTAACTTCAAGCATTTAGACTAGACTGTTGCCTAATTTCAAGCAGTTAGACTAGACTGTTCCCTAGTTTAAGCTAGTTAGACTAGACTGTTTCCTAACTTCAAGCATTTAGACTAGACTGTTCCCTAACTTCGACCATTTAGACTAGACTGTTCCCTAGTTTAAGCCATTTAGACTAGACTGTTCCCTAACTTCGAGCATTTAGACTAGACTGTTCCCTAGTTTAAGCCAGTTAGACTAGCCTGTTCCCTAACTTCAAACAGTTAGACTAGACTGTTCCCTAACTTCAAACAGTTAGACTGGACTGTCTCCTAACTTCAAGCATTTAGACTAGACTGTTCCCTAACTTCGACCATTTAGACTAGACTGTTCCCTAGTTTAAGCCCGTTAGACTAGACTGTTCCCTAACTTCAAGCATTTAGACTAGACTGTTCCCTAGTTTAAGCCAGTTAGACTAGACTGTTCACTAACTTCAAGCAGTTAGACTAGACTGTTCCCTAACTTCAAGCATTTAGACTAGACTGTTCCCTAACTTTAAGCATTTAGACTAGACTGTTCCCTAACTTTAAGCATTTAGACTAGACTGTTCCCTAACTTCAAGCATTTAGACTAGACTGTTCCCTAGTTTAAACCATTTAGACTAGACTGTTCCCTAACTTCGAGCATTTAGACTAGACTGTTCCCTAGTTTAAGCCAGTTAGACTAGCCTGTTCCCTAACTTCAAACAGTTAGATTAGACTGTTCCCTAACTTCAAACAGTTAGACTGGACTGTTTCCTAACTTCAAGCATTTAGACTAGACTGTTCCCTAACTTCGACATTTAGAGTAGACTGTTCCCTAGTTTAAGCCCGATAGACTAGAATGTTCCCTAACTTCAAGCATTTAGACTAGACTGTTCCCTAGTTTAAGCCAGTTAGACTAGACTGTTCACTAACTTCAAGCAGTTAGACTAGACTGTTCCCTAACTTCAAGCATTTAGACTAGACTGTTCCCTAACTTCAAGCAGTTAGACTAGACTGTTCCCTAACTTCAAGCATTTAGACTAGACTGTTCCCTAACTCCAAGCATTTTGACTAGACTGTTGGCTTATTTCAAGCAGTTAGACTAGACTGTTCCCTAGTTTAAGCTAGTTAGACTAGACTGTTCCCTAACTTAAAGCAGTTAGGCTAGACTGTTCCCTAACTTCAAGCATTTAGACTAGACTGTTCCCTAACTTCAAGCATTTTGACTAGACTGTTGCCTAATTTCAAGCAGTTAGACTAGACTGTTCCCTAGTTTAAGCTAGTTAGACTAGACTGTTCCCTAACTTCAAGCAGTTAGACTGGACTGTTCCCTAACTTCAAGCAGTTAGACTAGACTGTTGCCTAACTTCAAGCAGTTAGATTAGACTGTTCCCTAGTTTAAGCCAGTTAGACTAGACTGTTCCCTAACTTCAAGCATTTAGACTAGACTGTTCCCTAACTTTAAGCATTTACACTAGACTGTTCCCTAACTTTAAGCATTTAGACTAGACTGTTCCCTAACTTTAAGCAGTTAGACTAGACTGTTCCCTAACTTTAAGCATTTAGTCTAGACTGTTCCATAGTTTAAGCCAGTTAGACTAGACTGTTCCCTATCTTTAAGCATTTAGACTAGACTGTTCCCTAACTCCAAGCAGTTAGACTAGACTGTTCCCTAACTTCAAGCAGTTAGACTAGACTGTTCCCTAACTTCAAGCAGTTAAACTAGACTGTTTCCTAACTTCAAGCTTTTAGACTAGACTGCTCCCTAGTTTAAGCCAGTCAGACTAGACTTTTCCATAACTTCAAGCATTTAGACTTGACTGTTCCCTAACTTCAAGCAGTTAGACTAGACTGTTGCCTAACTTCAAGCAGTTAGACTAGACTGTTCCCTAGTTTAAGCCAGTTAGACTAGACTGTTCCCTAACTTCAAGCATTTAGACTAGACTGTTCCCTAACTTTAAGCATTTACACTAGACTGTTCCCTAACTTTAAGCATTTAGACTAGACTGTTCCCTAACTTTAAGCAGTTAGACTAGACTGTTCCCTAACTTTAAGCATTTAGACTAGACTGTTCCCGAACTTCAAGCATTTAGACTAGACTGTTCCATAGTTTAAGCCATTTAGACTAGACTGTTACCTAACTCCAAGCAGTTAGACTAGACTGTTCCCTAACTTCAAGCAGTTAGACTAGACTGTTCCCTAACTTCAAGCAGTTAGACTAGACTGTTCCCTAACTTCAAGCTTTTAGACTAGACTGCTCCCTAGTTTAAGCCAGTCAGACTAGACTTTTCCATAACTTCAAGCATTTAGACTAGACTGTTCCCTAACTTCAAGCAGTTAGACTAGACTGTTCCCTAACTCCAAGCAGTTAGACTAGACTGTTCCCTAACTTCAAGCAGTTAGACTAGACTGTTCCCTAACTTCAAGCAGTTAGACTAGACTGTTCTCTAACTTCAAGCAGTTAGACTAAACTGTTCCCTAACTTCAAGCACTTAGACTAGACTGTTCCCTAACTTCAAGCAGTTAGACTAGACTGTTCTCTAACTTCAAGCAGTTAGACTAAACTGTTCCCTAACTTCAAGCATTTAGACTAGACTGTTCCCTAACTCCAAGCAGTCATACTAAATTATCCCTAGATCTAGACGAGTTCTTTAGCTTAATATTTAAAATTAGACAATACTGCTAATATCAGTTTAGTTAGCTTTGCCTTGTAAATCCAGAGTTTAGACCTCAGACTTTTTCAGGTTTTATCATAATCGATCAGCTTACGTTTTCCTATTTTTAGAAAATAGTCTATAAGCTTCACAAAAATCATGATTAATTCTTTTCAGGATTAATATTGTTTACTAATAATCAGTTCAGTACAAGTTAACTGGCACAGATCTTGTCAGTACACATGTCACAGAGCTTGTCAGTACAAATGTCACAGATCTTGTCAGTACACATGTGACAATTGTTGTCAGTACAAGTGTCACAGAGCTTGTCAGTACAAATGTCACAGATCTTGTCAGTACACATGTGACAATTGTTGTCAGTACAAGTGTCACAGAGCTTGTCAGTACAAATGTCACAGATCTTGTCAGTACAAATGTCACAGATCTTGTCAGTACAAATGTCACAGATCTTGTCAGTACAAACATATTAGTCAACACAAATCCTGTCACAAAGCTGTTCAATTGAGTACAATTGTTGAGTTTTCACAAAGCTGGTTAGAACAAGTGTCGAGCTATCAAAAAGCTGTAAGTACACACCACCCCACTACTAAACCTCTTACTACACAGTTACACATAGTGTAATTTTGGACAAGAAAAACTTCAAGGTACATCATTTTAATTTGAAATATTTATTAACGTTCATATTACATCTCTATAAAATTTGAATTGTATTTTAAATAATTTATAGCGCATGTATTTTAATGTAGCGTATGCTGTTTGATATAAGTTCATGTAAAATACGATGTTTGATGTAAGTTAATGTTTATTGTTAGTTAATGTAACATAATATGCTGTATGTAGAGGCACAGTGGCTATCGTTTGTTTCCTTACATTAGCACGATGATTTTTACCAACCATAATGAATTGATATTTTAGTTAGTTTAAGCCATGTTATTAACATTTTTTATTTGTGAGGAAATGTATCAAAATATATGACAAAACATCATTAAAATATGAGAACGTGTGAGATGGAGATGGATGCCACATTTATCAGCATCGGGATGCTATTTCTCATCATAGCTTTCAATCACTTGATACTACACTATACATTTTAAAATCAACCAATGTCCAAATACACGCGCATCGATGTATTAGCATCTTGGAACATCCACCTGTCTTGTCCATCACAACGTGTCTTCTGCTGTCTTCTAGAATAATCTCAGGTCGGTCGGTAATGTGAGCGGTTTGTGGGGTTGGCGGGGGGGGGGGGGGGAATCCTGTAAAAAAATTGGTAGCTGTGTCAAATACACGTTTCATTTTTTAAAAAGTCTAAAACAAAGACATATAATGAAGATGAAACCGGCAATGAAAAAACTAACGAGGTCGACCAAGAAAGACCTGGTAGCTGACACCATCAAGATGAGCCAGACCTGGAGTGAAGATAAGAAAATGACACAAGACATGGGATTCTGGAGAGTCTTGATGGGTGATGGGCATTGGTGGGGCATTGGTGTGATGAAACTATATTTGTTGCATTTTTACAATTGTCAAAACATTTTTTCTATCTCTCAATAGGTAGGAAAAGTCTATGTAATCATACAAAAATAAAAAAAAAATCTTTTTAAAAATATGGTAAGCGATAAAATTATAGTTACATTTGTAAAAATTAAAGCGTTTTGGGAACCATCGATTACACACATTTTCGTATTTTCGTATCGAATATAAGCCGTTGAAAAGCCTTTTAGAATTATTTTATCAACTCATATATATTTTTAAAAACTGCCCTCAACCTCTCCTTGAAGTCTACCGGAATGGCCAGGGAGAGTAAACAAAAAAAGTCAGAACAGTTGTTCTCCATGATAAATAGTGATCTATGATAGCTTAGTATTGTATTTAAATAATATAGCATCCCCAATCACCACAACACTATTTCTAGCCTTATCGAAACCGGAAGTAATTTTGAACTTATTACACAAATGTTATAAAATATTCAGTTTGGTTGAAGAATTTGCTGTCTGGCAACACAAATTTGGAACCATTTAGAACCAGTTTTTCATGTCTATTATTGCGTTTTTTTTACAACATAACAATAATAATGTCTGGTTTGCAACTATATGAGGAAACCCTTGTGCAATGTCGCGTTGATTTAGTGTGAGTCAGTGCTTCTTACATTGGTACCAGTATGTGGTCAGTGCTTCTCACATTGGTACCAGTATGTGGTCAGTGCTTCTCACATTGGTACCAGTATGTGGTCAGTGCTTCTCACATTGGTACCAGTATGTGGTCAGTGCTTCTCACATTGGTACCAGTATGTGGTCAGTGCTTCTCACATTGGTACCAGTATGTGAGTCAGTGCTTCTTACATTGGTACCAGTATGTGGTCAGTGCTTCTCACATTGGTACCAGTATGTGGTCAGTGCTTCTCACATTGGTACCAGTATGTGAGTCAGTGCTTCTCACATTGGTATTAGTATGTGGTCAGTGCTTCTTACATTGGTACCAGTATGTGGTCAGCTATCTACAAGCACTCAAACTTAGTAAATTAAAACAAGGCTTACGCTAGTTGAGAATATTTTCGTTGGTTATTGTTCAATCCCTAAACTTTGAATTTATTGTCAGAAAGGGGAGAACACTACGATACATTTTAGAAGACATTTGAATTTCTCAACTTGTATCCATCAATAAGCTTACTGAGGCCATAGTGAGTTGAACCACTACAATCGGTTAGTCACGGGAATGGTGACAAAGAGTTTATTAGTTTCGACATAATATGCAGCCATATCTACCCTCCCCAATTCTAGTGCTGAGTGGACTCAGGGACATCAAGCCTGGGTATAATAGATAAAATCTCGGGTGAGTAATCCTGTGCTCTACACTCCGCTCAAGGCGACGATACCTACTATATGGGTGCTAGATATATATGGCATACAAAACTAAATGATTAAAATTATATGATGGAACAAAGTGTTTGAAATAATATCTGTTTTCAACACAAGATATGTGATTATATGTTTCTACATGATCAATATAGACATAAGCTTTTGTGTTATGTTATTTACGTATGGGCTCTGTATGAATCCAGTATGAGATTGTAATGGCGGGCTTAAGTAGAACTTTCCAAATTATCCCATCATAAGCCAAACTAACAAAAACAGATGAACTCTACTTCAACTGTGTTGTCAACCAAAAAAGTCAATAAGTTCAGCATTGATTAAAGTATTGTTTCATCAATACTTCTGAGTATAATACTTTGATATTGTTTCATCAATACTTCTGACTATAATACTTTGATATTGTTTCATCAATACTTCTGACTATAACAATTTGAAATTGTTTCATCAATATTTATGGCAATAACACTTTGTTTCCCTGTCTAAGAAAATATAACCTTTAATTTGAATATCGCCGTTGTATGTAATGTTAGGGTAGATACAACAAGCAGACAAACAGCTGTACAAGCGGCTGATACATACCTTGTTGTGCAACCAAGTAACGACAATCCACTTATTTCATGGGGTTGTCAGAACAGATCTGAGAAGTAACTCATGAAGCCAAGACCGTTGGAAGATAAGGCGCTGAAATCATCTTCCATGTCGTCGTCCTCATCATCATCCACGTCATCATCATCGTCATCGTCGCCATCCTCTACTTCCACAGCTACCGCCATTATCCTTGTCTTTCTCGACGCTGCAACAACCTTGGCTCTGCTAAGTTTGGCCCGACCCCTGGCCTTGGCCCTGGCACGTTTGACTCTGTCCACTGCTCTAGTCTTCAGACGCTGGGCTGCCTGCAAAGTCCTTGACATGGCCCAGTGGCCGGTTCTAAACATCTGGGTCAGAGCCCGTTGGCCAGCTTTCAGTGTCTGGTTCAAGGCCTGATGCCCTGCTCCAAACGCATTTGACACGCTAAAGAGAAAAAAAATTAACATTATTTTAACGTAATAAATGATTTCAAACATTATTTTGTAATAGGCATCCACGCTTTTAAAAGTATGTCTTTCAATGACAGAATTAATGGTTCATTATTTCACACGACGATATCGAGCACGATTATCACAGTTATGTGAAATAATTATCCAGGTCTGTCAATTGATTTGATAAGTGAACAGTGGTCATTAGCATAACTAGAGAACTTATAAATAAATTGTGCAACCCCGGCCGAAAGCTGCAAGGTGTTTTTTTTTTTAATTTAATGCAGTTATATTTTAAAGTAGATCTTCTAATTCTAATTCATCAATAAATCAACAATCTTTTTTTTTTATTCACGAAACAAGCGATACAATAAGTATATCCGAAAGAAGACTAAATTTGCATACAGGGCCATATATCTACAATCTTTACCATAACCATTTAATAACAAATATTCTACACATAGCTTCTAAATTAAGCTGCATTATTGCCTTAAATCAATCAGTAAAAAATGATTTTCCTCTTAATTATTTTTTTTAGTGAAATAGCAGAGATTATATAGATGACCGAGAAACATATCGGGCACAATGCTACGCATACATACATACATCACAAACAAATACATTCTTACGTTCTTACATGTATACATAGACTATATAGAAACACAAATACCTACACTCATACATAAACACTTGGATTTTATTAAATTTGGTACTAAGGCAGTTTTTAATTTCTAAATTCTTTGATCAATCTAGAAAAATAATGGACCTCAAACATGTAATACTAACGTTTAAGAGATCTTTACCGTAGAAGTTGAAACATGCAGCGAAACGTGAGTTACGTACCTTGCCAAACTGCCGCTGATGACTTTTCTGCTGAAGGTGTAACTGACCAATCGGCTGCCGTTCCTCGACTTGACCATTCGGCTACTCCAGCTGTTGAGAGTACCCAGACCGAATCTGTTCAGTGTCATCCTGGTCGTTGCCCCCTGGATAATGGTGACACCACCCCCACCCCCACGGGCGTTGGTCTGGTTGACAGTGACATTGACTGTCATATTGACAGATGGAGCACTTCGTGACGTCGAGCTCCTTTTAACGACGACAGTCTGAGAAGATTTAGCACGTGTTCCGGGTGCCATTTCCAGTTGTAGTATCAGGTCGATAACTGATGGAAATCTAAACAGAAACATATCAATCTTGATATATATATATATATATATATATATATATATATATATATATATATATATATATATATATATATATATATATATATATATTTATGTATGTATGTGTGAATGTGTGTTTGTGTGTGTGTGTGCGTGTGTGTGTGTGTGTGAACAAATAATGTTAAAGTCGTTTGTTTGGAGATAGAGAGCCATTTTGATGCAGTATAAGGTGGGTATATATAAAAAAAACAACAACATGAGAAACGCTCTCATTCCCCGTTATTACTAATTGATATACTCAATAGCATTACATATTCTGGATCACAAACAATATAAAATGAGGATGTTACAAAGGTCTGGCTATAGGGCGGGTGTCAAGATTTGATCAGTGGCACCTCAGAACATGAGAGGACATCAGAAGTGCTCAACTCTCCTCCTACAAACGAGTTCAAGCTTGACTTGAGTTAATCCTGTGTGGTCCCAGGGGAGCAAACGTCTGCAACCACACCTCTCCACCGGTATCAGATTTGGGCCTTTGCCTCTTCTTCTACCGTTCTTCTTCATGATCTCATTGGCTGGCCAACCTTCCTTCTTCCCTGGGGATTCCAGTCGATAGATGTCTTTGCAGTCTTATCTTTTCCCTTCTAAGGGTATGTCCGATCCATCCCTATGTAAACATTTGATGACCTTGTCCTTTGGCTTTTGTTTTGTTTTGCCACATGTCTTTAAATACACCAACCGCTACCAAACCAACGTCAATTTGGAGCTCAAGCTAGAAATAAGGAGAATATGCATTTCTCTTGTCATATAGCAATTGTATTTTCTAAAGGTGCTCCTTATACGTTGTATGATAACTGTTATTTACGTAACATTCAATGGCGCTGACTGATGCTGGGTTTGAGAGCTAGTTAAAAAACTTTGCCTCAAATGTAATAGTTCCTAGATATCTAGATCTAGATAATCTATTGTAATGTAAAGTGCCAGCGTCTATCCTATAATTATAAATGCACTTACTATAAATTGGAAGTCTACTTCAAATAGAACTTGATAACACATTTGTTTTTGCTAAATCTATAGTAACAGATAAATATGGCTCATTGTTTTAGCCTAAATCTAGAGCTTAGAATGCCCTAGATTGGCTTAAGATGCCATTGAAATACAAATTTTAAACGTTGTATACATGTTTCAATAATACTTCCAACAGAAAAATAAATACACGTTTTTTTTTCATTACAAATTAGTCGAAAAAATACATTAACCCACCACAAAAACAATTAAAATATCGACACAAAAAGAAAGAAGTACTTCGTTACCTTGTTTAAAAATGGTTGATCTGTTACGTCATCATATTGTAAATGGTTTACAAACAAGTTCGTACCGCATTTTTGGTGCGCTTAATTTGAGTGTGCTTTTTTGAGTGTGCATTTTATTTTCTCATTCCTTACTAATAATTTATTTAATTTAATCTTGTTGAACTGCTAGTCTAGGACACTTTCAACGGTTATTAAACATCAAGGTCACCCGATTGATTGATAAATGGATATTGGCTTTAATATTCTAAACCTAACACATTTTTATTTTAGAACTAAATTCCACAGATGTTTACTCGAAGACTACTGGACTGGATGGATTCTTTAATTATAATTTATATCACAGTATGACGAAATGATAATTATGTGTATGTGAAGTGGTCTCCTTCGGTATTTTCAAATCGTGGAAATAAACCCGCTCCGTCCCCCCCCCCCCCCCCCCCCCCCACCGCCTCTATTGTTTGAACTTGCCGATTTGTAAGGACCATCAAAAGATTATAGTTAGTTAAAAGTTTGATGGGGCAGCGTGGTCAATTGGTAGAGATTTGGCTGCTGGCGAGTTCAGATCTCATCTTGGTTCGGACTGTAGACCGTCACAAAGCTGGTCAGTACAATTTTAATAAAGCTGGTCAGTGTAAATGTCACAAAGCTGGTCAGTACAAATGTCACAAAGCTGGTCAGTACAAATGTCACAAAGTTGGTCAGTACAAATGTCACAAAGCTGGTCAGTACAAATGTCACAAAGTTGGTCAGTACAAATGTCACAAAGTTGGTCAGTACAAATGTCACAAAGCTGGTCAGCACAAATGTCACAAAGCTGGTCAGTACAAATGTCACAAAGTTGGTCAGTACAAATGTCACAAAGCTGGTCAGCACAAATGTCACAAAGCTGGTCAGTATAAATATTGTCACAAAGCTGGTCAGTACAAATGTCACAAAGCTGGTCAGCACAAATGTCACAAAACTGGTCAGTACAAATGTCACAAAGCTGGTCAGTACAAATATTGTCACAAAGCTGGTCAGTACAAATGTCATAAAGCTGGTCAGTACAAATATTGTCACAAAGCTGGTCAGTACAAATATTGTCACAAAGCTGGTCAGTACAAATGTCACAAAGCTGGTCAGTACAAATGTCACAAAGCTGGTCAGTACAAATGTCACAAAACTGGTCAGTACAAATGTCACAAAGCTGGTCAGTACAAATATTGTCATAAAGCTGGTCAGTACAAATATTGTCACAAAGCTGGTCAGAACAAATATTGTCACAAAGCTGGTCAGTACAAATGTCACAAAGCTGGTCAGTACAAATCTCATAAAGCTGGTCAGTACAAATATTGTCACAAAGCTGGTCAGTACAAATATTGTCACAAAGCTGGTCAGTACAAATGTCACAAAGCTGGTCAGTACAAATGTCACAAAGCTGGTCAGTACAAATATTGTCATAAAGCTGGTCAGTACAAATATTGTCACAAAGCTGGTCAGTACAAATATTGTCACAAAGCTGGTCAGTACAAATGTCAAAAAACTGGTCAGCACAAATGTCAAAAAGCTGGTCAGTAGAAATGTCACAAAGCTGGACAGTACAAATGTCACAAAGCTGGTCAGTACAAATGTCACAAAGTTGGTCAGTACAAATGTCACAAAGTTGGTCAGTACAAATGTCACAAAGCTGGTCAGCACAAATGTCACAAAGCTGGTCAGTACAAATGTCACAAAGTTGGTCAGTACAAATGTCACAAAGCTGGTCAGCACAAATGTCACAAAACTGGTCAGTACAAATGTCACAAAGCTGGTCAGTACAAATGTCACAAAGCTGGTCAGCACAAATGTCACAAAACTGGTCAGTACAAATGTCACAAAGCTGGTCAGTACAAATATTGTCACAAAGCTGGTCAGTACAAATGTCATAAAGCTGGTCAGTACAAATATTGTCACAAAGCTGGTCAGTACAAATATTGTCACAAAGCTGGTCAGTACAAATGTCACAAAGCTGGTCAGTACAAATATTGTCATAAAGCTGGTCAGTACAAATATTGTCACAAAGCTGGTCAGAACAAATATTGTCACAAAGCTGGTCAGTACAAATGTCACAAAGCTGGTCAGTACAAATCTCATAAAGCTGGTCAGTACAAATATTGTCACAAAGCTGGTCAGTACAAATATTGTCACAAAGCTGGTCAGTACAAATGTCACAAAGCTGGTCAGTACAAATGTCACAAAGCTGGTCAGTACAAATATTGTCATAAAGCTGGTCAGTACAAATATTGTCACAAAGCTGGTCAGTACAAATATTGTCACAAAGCTGGTCAGTACAAATGTCAAAAAACTGGTCAGCACAAATGTCAAAAAGCTGGTCAGTAGAAATGTCACAAAGCTGGACAGTACAAATGTCACAAAGCTGGTCAGTACAAATGTCACAAAGCTGGTCAGCACAAATGTCACAAAGCTGGTCAATACAAATGACACAAAGCTGGTCAGCACAAATGTCACAAAACTGGTCAATACAAATGTCACAAAGCTGGTCAGTACAAATGTCATAAAGCTGGTCAGTACAAATGTCACAAAACTGGTCAGCACAAATGTCACAAAGCTGGTCAGTACAAATGTCACAAAGCTGGTCAGCACAAATGTCACAAAGCTGGTCAGTACAAATGTCATAAAGCTGGTCAGTACAAATGTCACAAAACTGGTCAGCACAAATGTCACAAAGCTGGTCAGTACAAATGTCACAAAGCTGGTCAGCACAAATGTCACAAAGCTGGTCAGTACAAATGTCACAAAGCTGGTCAGCACAAATGTCACAAAGCTGGTCAGTATAAATATTGTCACAAAGCTGGTCAGTACAAATGTCACAAAGCTGGTCAGTACAAATGTCAGCACAATAAAGAGAAATCAAGATAGAACGTAAAAATAAATTATTTTATTACCAAATTGTTCGTATACGTAAGGATAAATTACTGAATAAATGCATAAAATATTTGTGAGTATAAATTATATATCCTATAAAAAGAATATTTTTTTCGTTGAAATAACATAAGGTTCGTTAACGTTATATGTTTCAACATTTTATGAGATTTATTGCTCTTTTTTTTTGTACATACCGGCCATTAAAATAACATTTATTTTGATTTGGTAATGACTAGAAACATACATGTATGTGTGAGTGACAAATACAATGGGTACGCAAATTTTAATCTACGTGTACATTTATCTTTGTGTACGATGAGGCTAGAATTAGAGTTGGTTTATTCGAATGTGGATGTACATTTTCCGCGAAGAATTCAGTAACGCACTTCTTGAAAATCTCGTAGATTTATGCATTATATACGAGCACAATTTTTTAAATAAAAAGTTTACAACATGTGAATATCAAAGTCCAAATAAAAGCAATGTATATCTGTATCCCCTCACTCTTGTAAAGAATCGTGTAGCACCAGGTTAGACCGTCCCTCCTGCCGTGTCTTCTGCCTAGTTCAAACTGTGGACTGTGGGTAGGGAATAAGAGGGACAAACAAAATTACAATCTCTTTAAAATCTTAATTTTTTTTAAGAAACAGATTTTTTACTATCGTATTTTAACCTTATACAACATATTAACAGCCTTCAAAAGCTGTTACTTTGAGGAGTTGTATTTTTAAAAAACAACTTTTGTGTTTTAAACGATGTTTTATATATGTTGCTCTCGATTGTAGCGTTAGTTTTGATAGAAAAAACTTATAATCGAATTAGGAAGTAGCTTTGGCTTGCCGCTACCATTCATTCAACCAGCTAGCGAGCAGCAGCTTTGCAGATCAGGAAATTAACCCCACGTTACCCACAGCAAAGATGAAGTAGAGTTCACCTGCTTATGTGTCCTCAGCGGAGTGTTCAACCAACTTTACTTTTTCTGGCTCTAGTCAGGTACTCATTAGTACTGAGTGAACTCAGGGACTTGTACCTTGGTATGGCAAGCAAGTCTCTCAGGTGAGAAATTGAGTACTCTACCCCCCCCCCCCTTCCGCTCACGTCAACGTTAACCACCTATAAGGGAGTTAATTACATATGCTACATATACTTAAATATATTTTACATGATTTTAATAACACAAAGAGTATAGTCTGGTATAAAAATATGATAAGTAATTGATTGTTTTTTTTTCATTTTCTTTTTTTTTTGTTTAACTCATTTACATAACATATGCATGCACTGAGCGGGTGAGAGGATATAATGGTTTATCATACTGTGGTCAATAGACTGGCTTGATAATTTAACAACTTCATTTCCTAAATTACTTAATTTTAAAAGTAATCAATTTGACCAAAAATAGCTGCACGATTAGGTACTTTTCCCATACAAATGTCCATTGTGTATGTAACTGTTGTCTAATACTATTCAAAATGTATGCCCTAATCGGGAGACGGACGTTTTCCCAAAAGACACTTGCCGGAATGCGACAATGTGTTTACGGGGTATTAGAGTGCATGACTGCTAAGGAGAAAGGCTCGAGTTCGTTTTCAGGAACTCTAAAAGGTACCAGACTAATTTGGAACCTTAAAGACTGCTGGAACTAGAACTCTCAACACCTTACACATCTCCTTTTATAAACCAACTTCACAGAAATAGATGAACTCTACTTCATCTGGTTTACCGACCGACAGATACATTCATACGAAGTTATTACGTCTGACTATATCTTTTTCACTCTCCAATCAATGGATTGTTCAACTTTGACATTGCTGTTATCTAAAATACAAAGGTAGAAATTAGCAACCAAGTAGACGTATATAAAAAAGGCTGATACACACCTTGTTCTAATTCCGTATAACTGCAGCATTGTCTCCTGAAATCACCGTGGTCACAACACTCCCCTGGCCTCTGACAGATCTACTGGTGATGTTCACGCCGTTGATGACTATGGTGCTAGAATATTCTTCTTCTTCGTCATCATCTTCTTCTTCGTCATCATCTTCTTCTTCATCATCTTCCACCCCTAACGCTCGAAGCCTCAACTGTCGAACTCTCTCCACTGTCAAGGACCTTGCTCGCTTAGCTCTTTCCAATGCTCGGGCCCTTTCTTGTCTAGCTCTTTCTAATGCTGCCCGTGACCTTTCTCGTTCAGCTAATGCCCTTGACCTTTCTCGTTCAGCTGCTTCTAGTGCTCGTGACCTTTCTCGATGAGCTATCTCCAATACCCGGTATCTCTCTCGCTGTGCTCTTTCGAATGCCCGTTCTCGTAAACTCTGGGCAGCTTCCAAAGCCCGGGACCTTGCCCGATCTGCAGCTTCCAAAGCACGTGATCTTGCCTCTTGTGCGGCTTCCAAAGCACGTGATCTTGCCTCTTGTGCGGCTTCCAAAACGTCAGCCCTCGACTGTTCTGCTGCTTCAAAGTCTCGTGCAACACTAGTGATTGAGACAAGCATAAGTTTATTTAAAGTGTCAGATACTTTCAAATAGTATTCGGTATTAGGGGCATACACATCTTTACGTAAACGGTTTTAGCAACGACAAGTATCAGCTTTTTTTCTCCCCCCGGAGAAAAAAGTCTGACAGAAACACTGAATGAAATCTAACAAAAATCTATACAGAATTTTTACCTCAACCTAGGTCTTCATTATTAATATCCATGAATATTATAAACACGTTTTCAAATGTCACCAATGCTGTTTTCATCAAACCCATTACCAAAAAGTGCTTAACCGAAAAATTTGACAAAACGTTTAGATCAACAGCTGATTACATACGTACACAAATGAAGACACATTAATAGCATATATACATGCATACATCATCAACAATCACACATAAACACCTTACATGCATACAAATATACATATAATACTGAGGTTTTACAGTATAATCATCATCAAATCCCAAATATGCCTGAGATACCAGAGGCAGAATGAAGTAGAGTTCGTCTATTTTAATGATCGCATAATAAGGGGGTGGGGGCGGTGTGAAGTCACTACTAAGCCCAGCCTCATTTGTTTCCCTAACGTGAGCCAGGTACCAATCAGAGCTGAGCGTGCTCAAGTAGATCCTTCAGACTCGAGCCCGGGATCCGAACTCTCGGGTTAGCAGTCGTGAGTTCAACCACCCGACCACGTCGTTCCCATTCATTATTAATTACTAATGCGACATTTAATTTTGCAATAAAAGAAAAAACCTACAACGGATTAAGTCTTATATTACGAAATCTAAACCGCAGATAAGAAAAAAAAACATACAGAGAATCGTTATCTACTCACCTTGTAATAGTACTGCAGCCTCCAGTATTGTTAAAGCTGTAATCGACTATCGCATTCCCATTCCCAGATACGATTAAGCTGTTGCAGATGTTGTTGCCGCTACAGACATAGTTTCCAGAGCCGTTGATAATGACGCTGTTACCACCACAACTGAAGCTACTGTTTCGAGATCCGTTGATAATGACGCTGTTACCACCACAGCTGATACTACTGTTTCCAGGTCCGTTAATGATGGCGGTACTGTTTCCAAAGCAGTTGATATTTCCAAATGAGGTAATCGTGCCCCCACAGCCGTTGATAACTACGTTGCTATTTCCGAATGAGTTAATCGTGCCCCCACAGTTGTTGATAATAACGCCGTTTTTCCCATAGCTGATAAAGCTGGTTCCTCCTCCAGTTTGGCCACTGACATACACGCCGTTTCGAAAAGCAGTGTTGAAGACTCCGGCGCCCCAGTCGGACCCGGTGTTGTAGTACACTGTACGAGTGGTGTAGGCGTTGTCAGCGTTGTCTCGTGAGGCATCATCCTGGGAGTCTGAGGAACGTGCTGACCCAAGGTCGGTCACTGATGCACGTCTTTCTTCCATTTTACTTCAAGTTGAGAACGGATGTTGAACCAAGTCAATCTAGGTAGATAAAATGCCACATATATATATAGGAACATATATATATATATATATATATATATATATATATATATATATATATATATATAGGAACATATATATATATATATATATATATATATATATATATATATATATATATATATATATATAACGTCATCATTTTGAACGAGGATTTAAAACAAAGTGCATTTTGGTGCTCTTTTCAAGATTTATTTAAGGAAATAAACGTATATATGGGCTAAGTATTTATTTTTTTTATAAGTAATATATTCGATGATGTGTTCTTTTGACGAAAGGTGGGGGTTGGCAATTTTTCTTTTTTCAGATGTCAATTAAAGAAAATCACAAAATGAACTATTGTTTAAAATTGTTTGCAATTTCTAACAATTGAAATAGTAAATTTTGGCATGTTCGGTATCTTACATCCTAATACTAGTTTAATTAGGAAGATTAAAAAGACACGAGCCGACCCGCGGCATATCATACGCCGCTATTTAGTTGTTTTTTTTTTCTACTTTTCAGTAATTCATAATTTGTGAATTCGACAGTACCAATGCTGCCACTGAAAATATGTGCTTTAAAACACTAACCCCCCCCCCCCCCCGTGAAAGCCGCCTCCTCTTAGTTACCACCTCTAATTTTAAAATCGTTTCAAACTAAATTATCTGCCCCTAATAGCCGTCACCAAACCCGGCTCTATGATTGTAAAATGTAAAAATTTAGAGTGAACTACAACTCACCAGGCCATGTAGGGGTGGTGGTGGGGGTGGGGGGGGGGGGGTAGCGATAGAGAGGAAGAGAGGGGACTGCAAAGGCGCGCTTGCAGCTTGTTTTCTAACGGCTCCCAGAAGAGAATTATATATTAAAAAGACATAAGTGTGGTGATGTAATGTGTATGAATGGTGTGTACGTGGGACTGATCACTGCGTGTGTATATGTATCATGTATTCTATAGCGAGACGTGAGGACGTGTGTGTTTACGTGTATGTTATTGTACGGAGTGAACGAGGGTAACAAGGGAAGCGAATGGTCGAGTGACAGCAAGTGTGTCGACGTGTATGTTGTTGTACGGATTGAACGAGGGTAACAAGGGAAGCGAATGGTCGAGTGACAGCAAGTGTGTCGACGTGTATGTTGTTGTACGGATTGAACGAGGGTAACAAGGGAAGCGACTGGTTGAGTGACAGCGGGTGTGTTGTGAGCGAGAGAAAGGAGGTGTGTAGGAATGAATGCGGAAGACAGTTGAAGGTCGGGGTAGACAGGTTGATGTGGAACTGGAAAGGCGATTGAGGAAAATAAAAGAGACTGTTATACCTAGCCTTAATGTGTTGTTACTGTATGGTATGAGATTCCTGACGCCCTCTTACATCCTAATACTATTTTAAAATTGAAGGCTCCTAAAAAAGACTAAAGGAATAATGCTTACGTACTCCCTGGAGAGGACCTAAACTTATTTTAATTGCCCTTATCTTTTATTATAAATAAATCGCTTCAATTGTATATAGATCTAAATTGATTGTGTAATTGTATAGCATGGTGTGCAAGTACAGTGATTCAAATTGCTTAGACATTGAAACATTTTCTGCGGTAAAAAAAAAAGCTAATTGTTTGGTTACTTTGATCGTTCACACGTATCAACAAAGTTAAAAACAAAGATGTGTGCAGTTAGGGCCAGAGTTTCTTCCAGGCATCTCTGCTGAGGAGGGGGGTGGAATTTATATAGAAAATATATACTTTAACAGTGTCCGCCCCAACCCCGGAAATTTTATTCCCCCCCCCCCCCCCCAGGAAGAAAAAAAACTCTGGAAGAAACACTGGTTAGGGTATACAGCGACCTGGCGTTAACCTAGTTAATTAACAGTTAACATTAACCCATTGTATTAGATCTAGATCTCTAATTCATTTCGTAAAAGTTCAAATCATAATTAATGAATTTAAAACGAATTTAAAAAGACGAAGTTAGATCTAATGGCTTATCAATATATTCCAAATCATTTATTATACTGCATCATACCACCTTAGATATGCAATAGATAGATCTAGAAGAAATAGATTTCTAGACCCTAGATGTAGAATTTAAATTGCCTTAGACTGAGACACACAATATAAAAACAATAAAAATACTTGCTTTGATACCGTCGACAAAATGGCGCTTGGTATGTTACGTCATCATTTTAAACCGTGGTGCGTTTTGGTGCTTTTGTCAAACTGACGCGTGCAATCTTGAACTGACACATGTATTGTAATATTGACCCGTGCAATCTTGAACTGACCCATTTCTAGTCATACTGACCATTTGGCAGCGAGCATACACCCTTTTGCTAAGACTACGCTTGGATAGAATCAGTTTAGATCTCACGCGCCAATGGACGTTGAGATTTGATGTCACGTGATATGATGCGGTTTACACATTTATCACTAAAACAAATCGAACACAAACTCCAAATTAAACATACTTGTCTTGAGTCAGTAAATAAAATTGTAAAAAACTATTCGTAAAATAGCGAGGGGAACGAACTCTGGTATTACTATTTTACTAAAAATTGAGACCGCTTACCTCTGCTTGATCACAACACCAATCAATATAAAAAGGATGACCAGAGTTTCTTCCAGCCCCCCCCCCCCCCCGAACGCATTGAAATTTATATAATTTATATAGAAAATATATACTTTTAATAGTGTCCCCCCCCCCCCCGTAGAAAGTCTACCGCCCCCCCCCCCAAAAATTTCAAGTGCCCCCCCCCCGGGGAAAAAAGTCTGGGAGAAACACTGAGGATGACAAGGATGGCTGAGCCAGTGGTGGCACCAATATAGAATCATAAGATCCTCTTGTCTGGGACTAAATCATTAGCAACAAATCTAACATGACTTAATGTATCAACGATTATTGATATCATGCTATCACACGGAACTTCTATTGTACTAACTAGATATTATAGTAAATTACACAACCTTTTAATTATCATCAACAATAGTTAGTCGTTTGGAGAAAAATACCTCCTTTATTATTATAAAATTAGGGTGTCGGCGTGGTCGAGTCGGTAAAGCTCATGGTTGCTAAACCGAAAAAGCCTCGAGTTTGAACCCTTGGATGAGGCTCGTTAGCCACTGGGGACAGCCACTCTTCTAGGAGAGACAACTCCAAAATCAAACAGCTGCTGCCTTGTAGTTTGTTCTTGGCAAATCCAATGGCGCATAACCAGTTGACACGTATACTTAATTGTGTAGGAGGCGTGGTCGGGTCGGCAAAGCTCATGGTTTTAAATTCGAAAGGAAGTCACGAGTTCAAACCTTCTGGCAGGTAAGGGGTCATCCATAAATAACGTCACGCTTTTTTGGACGATTTTTACCTCCCCCCTCTCCCCTCCGTCACACATCGTCACAAAAAGCCAGACCCCCCCCTAAAATGACGTCTCACCTCAGCCTACACCCCCCCCCCCTTAAAATAGCAGTTCAATTTTTCTTTAAACATCGATATTTTTCCAAAATCTTGTCTGAACTCTGTCAAAATAGAGTATTTTAATCAATTCCCATTGCAATTTATTAAATCAGTTTTCTAAAACGCGAAATAACGTCTAAAATTCGTTTTCTAACATTGCTTTTTTATAATGCAAAAGTGTGACGTCGCACCATCTGAACCCCCCCCCCTCCCCCTCGTCACACATCGTCACAAAATTACGGACCCCCCACCCCCTGTGAGTGTGACGTCATTTATGGACGACCCCTAAGGCTCGATCCCTTCCAACACAAAAGATTAAGAACGCAGACGAAGAACAAGATTTTAAAATCAACGTTCAACAACAAATTGAGGACGACATTGACATACATAAATACATTTTTATTACTGACTGTTAATTCTGTTTGAACCCCGCCCCATAGTAATATGACTCTGTATGCTTCGCTGCACAACATAAGACCAAGTCACGCATATTTGGCAGTTTGAATAGTTTATGCTAACGAGGCCAGTTACTTGACTTCCTGATTCAAGAGTATGTAAATGTAGTACAGTTGGTTTTTCACTGTTGCTATATTTAAATCTACAGTGGTGTTGAAAAGGTATTGTGTTTTATTATGAAAACAAAATACCAAAGGAAAAGGGAGGGAATAGCTGATACGAATGAATTTTTTAAAAACAAAAATAGATACCTTCAAACTAGGGTTCGGGTTGGGGTATAGATTAGAGCTTAGGATTACGTCTTAGGTTATAGACTAGGTGTTTATAGGCTTGGTTTAACGACTGGATATTTTAGGGTTTGGGTTATGGTCTGTGTGCTTACGGGCTTGGGTTATAAACAGTGTTTTACGGGCTTGGGTTATGGATTGTGTGTTTCCGGGCTTGGGTTATGGATTGTGTGTCTTCAGGCTTGGGTTATAAACGGTGTGTTTATGGGCTTGAGTTAAGGATTGTGTCTTCAGGCTTGGATTATAAACAGTGTGTTTATGGGCTTGGGTTAAGGATTGTGTCTTCAGGCTTGGATTATAAACAGTGTGTTTATGGGCTTGGGTTAAGGATTGTGTGTCTTCAGGCTTGGATTATAAACAGTGTGTTTATGGGCTTGAGTTAAGGATTGTGTCTTCAGGCTTGGATTATAAACAGTGTGTTTATGGGCTTGAGTTAAGGATTGTGTCTTCAGGCTTGGATTATAAACAGTGTGTTTATGGGCTTGAGTTAAGGATTGTGTCTTCAGGCTTGGATTATAAACAGTGTGTTTATGGGCTTGGGTTAAGGATTGTGTCTTCAGGCTTGGATTATAAACAGTGTGTTTATGGGCTTGAGTTAAGGATTGTGTATTTTCAGGCTTGGGTTATAAATAGTGTGTTTATGGGCCTGTGTTATGGTATGTGTGTTTATGGGCTAATGTTATAAACAGTATGTTTAGGGGCGTGAGTTATAAAAAGTATGTTCATGGGCTTGGGTTATTGATTGTGTGTTGGGTTGTGACTGACTGGATTAGGGCTATGGTTATGTAGCCTGCAGCTAATGAATCACATAGGTGTCGTCATATGAGTCAGTAAATTGAAGTTGAGCCCATCCGTTTCTCTGAACTCTCCCTAAAATGGAACAGTGTGGTAAGTTGTATACCCACATATACCACTATATGCCAGGTACCCATTAGAGCTGAGTTGACTCATTGACAACCCATGGACTTTAACTCGTTAGTCGAGCTCAAGACTTAAGGGTGAGTCATCATGCGCTCCATCTCACGGCCACACCAAAATAAATTACGAAAACATTATTAACATATAGATTTAATAAATATCTTGTGATGTTTTCACATTATTTATATACAGTTAATTTTTGCATAGGTTGACTTACAGTTCATTCAAGAAAACACAAAACATTATTTATACAAAAATGACTTTAAGGAGAAAATAATTTGTGTCAAGTGACTTATTTACTCATGACGCATGAAATTTCCCGTTCTACTTGTGGACGTAAAGTTTGCCCTATAGTTCAACCCCATACAAAATTCATACGATTGGTCACATTTTGTCAACAATTTTCTCACAAAATGTAACAACATAAACAAAATGTTTGTCATAAATGGAATGTACATTAATGTATAACCATGTGACAAGTGTGTAAAACATAACATTGTGTAAAACATAACATTATGTAAAACAACATTGTGTAAACCATAACATTATGTAAAACATAACATTATGTAAAAGATAACAATATGTAAAACATAACATTAGCGGAATGTAAATCAGTTGTGTTTAGTATGTATTTCATATCACTCGTTTTTAATTGTGCTTTTCCCTGGGGTGTCTCGCTAATTAAATGAGTCGTCAATTAATCGATCTAACAGATAGTTGAAGAGATTAATGAAGATGATTAATGAAGAGATGATTGATTTATTGATGAGGATCCCCATTTGAGTAGGACAAAACACAAAGACTAAACCTTATAGATTTAAATTAGAGCGCACCCTTCCCATTTGTTTATAAAGTCTAGTTATTCAAGTTGGCGATAAAAGCACCCCCCCCCCCACAAACACACATTTTGAAAGGTTGGGTGCATTTTACACTAGTCCTTGTACCTTAAGAGTTTTTAGTAGGATGTCACAAAACTGATTTTTAAAACAGTTAAATAAGTCAGAAAAACCAAGTAGCAATCTATTTTCTCAACTTTGAATGTGTATAATTCACTAAAGCAGCTCAGAATGAGTTTTTTTTCTGCCCTGCTTGAGTTTCCGGGGCTGCCGTTCACCCGCCCTCCCCTATATACGCTTCTCTGTGAAGGGAGTACAGTTTGACATGAAAAAAACCCACCTGAAGCAAATATTTAAACCGATAGAGCTCGGCCCGGTATCAAGAGAAAGCTACAATCAAATCTGAGAAAAATGTTTGGAAAACAAAACACCTACAAATATAGTCTTTTTTTTTAAATTTCTGCTAAGTAATATAATTGAGCAAATGACCACAGAGGAGACTGTTATTAGGGTCTTTACGGTAGCGTCGTACAAGCAGGACTAGTTGTATCAAGCTCTCGTCAAGACTAGATAAAATAAACCAAAAAACAAAATTGGCAACGCTGCAGCAGATTCAAACATTGTAAAATAGAAAAAAAAATTAGCTAAACCGTGCATCATACAGTCAATAAGGCAATTTGTGAAGGGTGGGCTAACATTAGCTGCAAATAAGGCGATTTGGGGTGGGTGGGCTAAAATTTACAGCTGCAAATAAGGCAATTTGGGGTGGGTGGGCTAAAATTTACAGCTACAAATAAGGCAATTTGGGGTGGGTGGGCTAAAATTTACAGCTGCAAATAAGGCAATTTGGGGTGGGTGGGCTAAAATTTACAGCTGCAAATAAGGCAATTTGGGGTGGGTGGGCTAAAATTTACAGCTACAAATAAGGCAATTTGGGGGTGGGTGGGCTAAAATTTACAGCTACAAATAAGGCGGTGGGCTAACATTAACAGCTTGTAATGAAAGTAAACAAAGACACATCGGTCATTAAGAAAAAAAAAATATTTAAAAATAATACGCACAACCTGTAATAAGGTTTTTCCCACAAATTCGAGATTCACTTAACTGTACAGTGTTTATGAAAATAACCATTTCTAAAACGAAAA